GCCGATCTGGATGTCATAAATGGTAATTTCGGTGATGAAATCGAAATTTCTAACAGATAAAAATTCGCGACTACCACTGGTTTGGGACTGGGCGTTTTTCAGAAGAACTGCATCAGTTACCGAAGTTTTTTTAGCCATCAGCGGTCCATCTGGATGTCACAGTGGCTAATTTTAAAGTCAGAATTAGATATTTTTCAAAAGTACGGTACTGTACTATGCACATCCGAGATCCTGGGGATTTGCACGGGGAAAAGGCATCTAATGCATTACTACAATGCATCTAGTGCATTGTAGTAATGCACTAGATGCTTTCCGGCATACAAATCAGTAAGCTGAAGCCTCTAGTCAATTTTTAGCTCGTTTTAGTCACCACTTTTGGGGGCGTCGCTGAGAAGTCGGCTCGTTACGATTCTGAGCCATCCACCGCGCCCACCCATTTCTTTTCCCCGATCTGAAGTGGTCACGAGCCAAACTGGCAAGCACACGTTTCAGAAATTTTCGATTTCTTTTGAAATATAGAAATTAAAACTTTTTGAGATTTGTTATTTACGAAATGAGAATTTCCGATTTCTTTTTATGAAATTTCGAAGTTTTCCGATTTTTTAGGCCATTCTGGAGCGCCAGGATGGCCATAGGAATGGAAGGGCCATAGGAATTTTGCTGCATTTCTTTCAAAGGTGAAAGAAATGCAGCAAAATTATCAGGGGTCTAGACTGTTATATTAAACTGATTTCGAGGCTTTTTTTTGATAGCATAGTCGATGCTGGAGGTCACGCAAGAGAATGAGTTAAACAGTTGGAAATAATAGCGATTTTTTTGCATAGTACTAGCCTAGACCTGGAACCCCAGGGTCACCAAGGTGACCATAGGATCCAAGGTAGCCATCAGGTCCAGTATTAGATAAATTTTAATCTTTTCACTCACCCTGAACCCTAGCAGGGCTAAAAATGTGCTAAAAATGGGTTCAAATCCGATATTTCACCATCAGAAATCTGTATAAAATGTACGAAATGAGAAGGCATAGAATTTCCGATTTCTTTTCATGAAATCCCTAAGTTTTCCGATTTTTATGGCCATCCTGGAGCGCACAAAGAGGAAAGAAATCCAGAAAAATGCTAGAAAACGCATTTCGCCGGATCGTCAATGACCGTTCGAGTTTGGGTCAAGATCTTGGTCCTGGATTAGGCTGGATTTAAAATTCTTAATTTTTTAGCCATCCTGGAAGTCACTAGTGACTTCCCCATTGATTGCTGAGTCCTTGCAAAGCACCAGCTCATCCTACTCCAAGAATTCAGTAGATCCTACTTTCTCGGTCCCACTCTTGTCTAGACTCGATATTTCAAAATTTTCAGCTTTCCTGGAACGCACGAGTTACTTTCCCACCATCACTTTCCCGTCCTGCCCCATTGCAGCAATTCTTTACCAACCCCCGCGCAGCTCCATCCGATTCGTCTCATTTCTGCAGTTGCAGAGTTGTCTGCTTCTATAGTTTGAATTCTATTGGTTATTCTGGAGGGCACTGGTGGCTAAGCCACAATTTGCATCACTATTGCATCGATTGCATCGATTTGCCGAATCGCATCAACTCCTGTACACTGCGGATCGGCTTACCCCCACCTCTCCCACTCCAAGGCCACTCCAAGGGACACCAATCGATTTCTTTTTCCTTTTTAAAGATCGGTGCCAGTCACGAGTCGCTTCCCGCAATTCCCCGCAAGCGATTTCGCGCATAACACGGTTAGCACAATAGCACGATAGCGAACGACACCAAAAATTGTTTCTCATTTCTTTTATTGCCCCTCGTTCTTTTCAGGCTAGAAAATTTCGTATTTCCGATTTGAAATTTCGAACTGAAAACTTTTCCAAATAAATAAACTCGATTTTAGTACGAATTTTTGTCGTTTAAATTTTACAAAATAGACGAAATGAAAAACCACATTTTTCGTTCAACCATTTTTCCCTTTGAATGGGGTACCAGGATTTAAAAATCCTTTTCAACAGTATCTTTTATAAGTCAAATCCTAGGAAGGGCTCCTTACGGAGGCTTTCTACCTAGGATCTTGACGGGGACTTTTAACAGGAAAAACCGCATTTTCTGGCTCAGCCATTTTTCCCTATCAAGAAAGGGCTTTACCTAGGATGCAAATATTCTTTTATCGGGGTATCTTTTTATGGAGATATCCTAGGATGGGGGCTTCCTTTTATGGGGTTATCTTTTACCTAGGATCTTTATGGGGGTATCTTCTCTACCTAGGAAAAAGGCTTAACTAGGCTCTGCCCTGTCTCTCCTATCAAAAGCTTCTACCTGGAAGCAATCTTTATGGGGGTATCTTCTCTACCTAGGATGGAGGTATCCTTTTAAGGGGTTATCCTAGGATGGGGTATCTTTTTATGGGGTATTCTTTTATGGGGGTATTCTAGGATGAGGGTATTCTTTTAAGGGGTATCTTTTTATGGGGTAACCTTTTATGGGGTATCTTTTTATGGGATATCCTTCCATGGGGTATCTTTTTATCGGGTATCCTTTTATGGGGGTATCCTAGGATGGGTATTCTTTTATCGGGCATCTTTTTATCGGGTTTCCTTTTATGGGGGTATCCTAGGATGGGGGTTTTCCTTTTAAGCGATATCCTTTTATCCGGGTATCCTAGGTAGAAGATACATTTGAAAGGCAAAACATCTCGACCAAATCAACAAAACAGCCAAAACATCGCGTCGGTCAGGTGCTCATTTTTGATGGTCAATTTTTTAAAACCTTTTAAAGGGTTTTAAAAAAATTTCAACAATCTTAAAGTCAAAGCTGGAAGTCACGAAATCGTTCTAAATTGTTTTCTTTTGAAAAAATCGCAAATCCGAAAAAGTTGCCTTTTTGGTGATTTGAGTTCGAGCATTTTTACGTGAAAGCCCTAAGGAAACTGTGCACTTTTTTGCGTTCACTTTCCGTTCTGGACGTCACTTTTGGCAAAACATCTGTTTCCCGGGGTTTTCTGACGTAAATTGTTCAAGTTGGGAAAAAAAAAATAGCACCTGATTCGCCGATCCCCGATCTTGTCCCCTCCCTAGAAAACCCCTCAAAGAAAGGCGCTCGATAACGAATTTCTTTTTTCCAATTCCCTCATTTTATCTATTCTTCATCATTTTTCTCTTCAAAAACCTCCGAATTTCATTGCTAGTTTTTGGGGTCAAGGCCTTTCCTTTTGCGGCCAAATTTCTCGCCACCCAACGATTTTCTCAGAGTTTTTCAAATAGAAATGAGCGATCTGGAATGCACAACGCTTTATTTTCGCATGATTTTCCCCCATTTCCTTTACCCGGATCAAGGCGGGTTTTTTGATCTAGGCTCTCCCCAAAAAGTCGACCCCTACAAAAACAAAGAAACACCCAGTAAAATCATCAAAATATTGCCTTGTGCCTGCCAGAAAGTAGATTGCTTAAAGTCACGACCGAGCTTAGCCAAGGATTTCAAGAAATTTTCGAGTCGAAATGAAAATTCAGCGTTGCCTCGAATTTCTCGATTTCCATAGCGCTTGTATTTGTAAATTTTTTTAAATTCAGCAATCCTGGAACGCACGCTAGCATTTCCGAATGAAAAATTCGCAAAAAAAATCAAAAAAATTGCGAATGAGAATGGACGGTTTTAGCGCTTCCTAGATTTCAGAAAACGATTCTAACACTGTTTTTGTGCGTTCTGGATATCACATTGAATTTTCAGAGATTTAGAAATGTAAAATATCTTAATGCAAAAATTCGCAAAAAAACTTTGGTGTTTTTAGTAACTTGCGTAGTTTAACGTTTTTTTTGCGACGAAATTCCAGCTCTCTTTAACAGCTCCAGCTCCAGCTCCAGCTCCAGCCCTCCAGCTCCCAAGGATTTCCTAATTTCTTTTCGATTTTTCGAAATTTTTGGGGAAAATCGAAAAAAGCTCAATTTCATAAGTAAAAAGGTAAAAAAGAGTAAAAATTTCTTTTTTTCCATATTTCCTCACTAGATTTTCGCTTTTCTCTTCGTCTTTTCACGTTTTTTTCTTTCTTTTTTGCTTTTTTCCTTCATTTTTCGACATTTTTCGTCTTTCTAACGTCTAGACAGATCACGATCAAAGAATGTGCCATTTTTTGGCGCAAAATTTTGGTGACCTTGATCGAAATTAGTTTCGATCGTCTAACTGGATGGCATATCGATTTTTTTTAATTAAAAATTTGTTGAAAATCGAAAACATGAGATTTTGAAAAATTGCGAATGAGAATGGACACTTTTAGAGCTTTCTAGATTTCAGAAAACGATTTTAGCATTGTTTTTGTGCGTTCTGGATATCACATTGAATTTTGAGAGATTTAGAAATGTAAAATAACTTAATGCACCCATGGCGCAGTGGGAATGAGGGCTATTCCCAGTCGAGTGGTAACGAATGACCCTGGTTCGATTCCCGGTGGCGTTTTCTTTGCGGAAACTTTTGTTTTATTTTTTCTTGGTGGCATATCGATTTCTTGTAATTAAAAATTTGTTGAAAATCGAAAAATTGAGATTTTGAAAAGTTTCGAAATGAGAATGGACAGTTTTAGGGCTTTCTAGATTTCAGAAAACGATTTTAGCACTGTTTTTGTGCGTTCTGGATATCACATTGAATTTTGAGGGATTTAGAAATGCAAAATAACTTAATGCCCCCATGGCGCAGTGGGAATGAGGCAATGAGATTACCAATCGAACGACCCTGGTTCGATCCCCGGTGGTGCTTTTTTTGCGGGAATTTTTGCTTTTTTTTGCTTTTCTTTTTGTTTTTCTTTCGCTGACTCATTTTTTATTGGAAATCTGATAATTTTCTTGATAAAAAATAGAGAAATTTCTTGTCGAATCAGCCTCAAAATTCAGACTTCTGTTCTTCTGTTTTGACGGCGAAAATTTTCATTTTAAACTAATGACGAATTTTTTTCAGACTTTTTTTTCTCGGATGCCTCCAAGACTGAGCGAAAAACGAATTCGGAAAGCTTATATTCAAAATTGAAATGGATTTGAACACGTATTGGGCGCTGGCACAAAGTGGACTCTTGCAACAACAGATTGAAAAAGTCGGTTTTAAGTTGAGTAATTGGGTTTCTAAGAAAAAGTGGGATTGAAGTTGAGTTATTGGGCTTCTAATGGCCTCGTCTTTCAAATTGGATGTCACAAAGCTTAAATCTAAAAGAAAATTTGAAAAAAACAAAGAGCAAAATTTTTGCGGTCAACCAGTTCGAACTCTGACCAATTTCTTCCAAATCAACAGCTTAAATCAAATTTTAATACTCTTATCTTCCAAGCTGGATGTCACAAAGCTTAAATATAAAAGAAAATTTGAGAAAACAAGTATTCCAAAAATTTTTGCAGTAAGCAGCTTCGAACTCGGACCAATTTCTTTGAAATCAACAAACTAATTCAAATTTTAATCTTCTTTATCTTTCAAATTGGATGTCACAAAGCTTAAATCTAAAAGAAAATTTGAAAAAAACAAAGAGCAAAATTTTTGCGGTCAACCAGTTCGAACTCGGACCAATTTCTTTGAAATCAATAAACTAATTCAAATTTTAATTCTCTTATCCTCCAAACTGGATGTCACAAAGCTTATATATCAAAGTAAATTTGAGAAAACAAGAATTCAAAAAATTTTTGCAGTAACCGGATTCGAACTCGGACTAATTTCTTGGAAATTTCCTGGAAATCAAAACGCCTACCGGTTGCGCTATTGACAAAACTAAGAATTTTGATCTAATAAAAAGCGGAAACGCTAAAATGCACTCCAGCTTGACCTTTCGCAGTTTGATTTCCATTTCCAGAGCCATTTCCAGCGTTCAAACACCTCAAAAAGGTTATGGATCGACTTTTTCATCAAATGAACTAAGTGGGAAGGAAATGGCTTTACCAAAACACTAGCTGGAACGCGCACGACAAAATGAACTGGTGTTTTTCGGTTTTTTCGGCGGCTTTTTCATTGTGGAACTTTCCACGCCGGATATGCTGGGCAGCTGAGTAAATGCTGAAGGGGGGGAGGGGTCCACAGCTCCTATAAAACCCTCAACATTCCAAGTGACCTCCAGAATGCCCAATGGTATTCGACGTTTTGCTTAATTTGTCGAAATCTCTCCGGAAATCGTCCATTCTCATTCTGCTGAAGAGGGGGGAGTCCTCCCAAGGTCCACAGCTCCTATAAAACCCTCAGCATTCCAAGTGACCTCCAGATTGCCCAATGGTATTCGACTTTTTGCTTAATTTGTCGAAATCTCTCCGGTAATCGTTCATTCTCATTCATGGTTATGACTCGATTTAAAATTTTGACTTTCCCCGCCCGTTTCGCTTTTACCAAATGGCGTGCGTTCCAGGATTTGTAAAAAATCGGATTTCATTTGAAAATTCGCAAAATTGACTGGGGAAAACGGCTTGAACCCATTTCGTTTCAAACTTGACACTAAAATAAGCACAAAATGAGTATTTTGGAAAGACAAAGAGGTGCAAAGTGTCGAGGTACACCCGTTTTGCGCTTGGGTTCTTCACAAAATGCAAACTAGACAAAATCCTTTTTTCGTCACTTCAAAAATTGATAAGTCGCAAAACGATAAAACCCCAAATTCCACTAATTTTGTTTTTTTGGAAAAATATCGAAAATTTTCACATAATTAGCTGACATGACTTCCAGGATTGACTGTTTTCATAAAGAAAAGCTTTAAAAATGAAATTAAGGCGAGAAAAAGAAGCCAACTCTAATGAAGGGTTAAAATCTGGGAAGAAAAAAAAATTCTTTGAAATTTTCAATTTTTTTAGCGAAACTGGATGTCATGTTATTTAAAAAAACGAAAATTTTATTTATAGAATCAATTCCGAAAAAAAAATAGTTTAGCGCATCTTAGTGCATTTTAGAAAACACAAAAAAATGGGGATGATTCAATTGAGGGACTGAATTTCCGTTTTATCGCATTTCTAGTCAACGGGGGGAATTTTTGGAGTCATCGCTGCGATAAGGGCACATTTGGGTAGCGCTATATAAAGACGCGGGCGATCGGGGCGGCCGACGAGCTGAGTTGGAGTCTACGACTCGACTTCGACCATTTTTCTGGCGCCTTGTTTCACTTTTTCACTCCCGCACTTATTTTTTTGGCAAACTGGAACGCACAGCACTTTTTCTAATCGTTGTTTCTTGTTTTAAATGCAAATTTGATATTTTAGGCTAACATTGCAACTACCAAAATTTGCATATAAATTTTCGAACTACAAAGCTCTTTACAATTCTTTTCAAAATCCTTTGTGACATCCAGGACCTCCATTCCATCAATTATTTTCTCATTTTCAGCAACAGACAGCTCAGAAAATGCCCAGCCCTCTACCGACTCCGCAATTGACCCCACAGCTCTACGCTCAAATGCTCTACCAGCAGCTAATCTATCAACAATTTCAACAACAGCAACAGCAAGCCGCTCTCAGCGCTCAGCCGAAAGATTTGAGCCCAGGGTTCCCGTTGTTGAGGTCGGTCTGGAGGGGTTACTGTAGCTAGTACTGTACTGTAGTCAAAAGTCGATTTCTTTAAAAATTCAATTGATTGGCTAACAGTGTGACTTCCAGGATTGACGAATTGGCTTTTAAAAAGTTTAAAAGTTGACAAAAAAACCCTTTAAACAGGGAGATAACGATTCTACCGTACTCTTGACTCAAATTCGTTTTTCAAATGGTAATTTCAGTCTTAACCTACTCTCAACGCCGTCTACGTCGATTTCCCCGGCCGGCGCATCAACTTCGACCCAGGTAAACCGGGATTACGGTCAACGGGGTCTTAAGGTTACGGTATTCAGGGCAACTTTTAGAGAAACATTAGCTTTGTCAATTTCAAGATTACGGCTTTTTCAATCGACTCTGTGACATCCAGGATTCATAAAACTTTCCTTAAAATATTCCATTCTTTACGCAAATCGAAAATAAACGCTTCAACTCGTTTGAACTTAGTTACCCAACAATTTCAGAACAACAACCACCTGCCGATCATTCAAAAACCGATCCCCATCAAAGCCACGTCACCAATTCTGCAACTCACCCTGGCCCACGTCAAAGAGGAGACCAGCCAGCTGCCGGCATTCACCCCCGAGGCAACCCCATCACCGGTGGAAGGTCGGTTCAATTACCCAACTCTCAAATTTCGCAATTTCTCAAAACTAGCTTTTTCAATCGACTCAGTGACATCCAGGACTCATAAAACTTCCCTTAAAATACTCCAATCTTAACTCAAATCGAAACTACAGGTTTGAACTCGTTCGGCTTGTTTACCTAACTTCATTTTCCCGAAGATCACTAAAAGCTTGTTGCAAAGGCTAATTTGAGCTCTTTCGATTTCTTTTTCTGTTCTTCGAAACGACAGATCGGTTAATCCTTTGCAAATTTCGGAGATTTTCGCGGATTTTTCGTGGCCGATCACAGAACTTTGTTGCTAAACGGGAAAGACAAAAAAAAAGCTTTCCCTATTGACAGGAAATCAATTTTTCCAGAAAAAGTGGGCTTTAAGTTGAGTTATTGAGCTTCTAATGGCCTTATCTTCTAAGTTGCTAAGCGGGAAAAAGCAGGATAAAGACAAAAAAGAAAAAAAGCTTTCCTATTGACAGTAAATCAATTTTTCTTCTTTTCTAATGTCTTCTTTTCTAATATTTTTTTTCCTAAATTGACTATTTATAGACTTTGACCCAAGGAAATAAAGCCATTTTTTTTTCTTTTTTTTTGAAAAATCGATTTAACCCGTCATAGTACATTTTTTTTATCGCAAAAAACCTTATCAAATCAGACTTTTCGTACAGGAAAAGAACCAGCTTTTGGCGGGGAACGCAAAAAAATAGTAATGTGCTTTCTGATTTTCATAAAAAGCAAAAGAGGTGACGACATGCGGAGTCGAACCCGGATTGTCTGGCTACGAGTCGAGCCTCTTAGCCACTTGACCGTGATGTCATTGACTTAGAATCAAATTCTAAAATATTCAAAATTCAGTGTGACATCCAGAACTTATAAAAAGCTAGGGGAAACCTTCAATCTTTTCTTTAAAAGCAAGAAAAACCCGCAGTCCTGAATCGAAAAAAGTGATGAGATGGGATTTTTTGGTTAAAAGTTATCCAATTTAAAAGTTTTTTTTTAAAAATGTTAATCCTGGATGTCATGCTAGAATTTTATCGGTTAACATCGGAGAAAATAATGAAAATTTTAGAAACAAGTCGCCCCTCACCGCCAGCGTCAACCTCGTCGGCTCGACACAGTCAAGAGGATGAGGAAGACGATGAAGAGGTAAAAATGAAATGGCAAAGCCTGTAGCTTGAATCAAAAACTTTCAGATGTATATCGACGTTGAGGACATCGAGGACAAGGAAAGTGGAAAGAACAAGCGAAAAGCGCATATCGAATTCTATCGAAAAGTCAAAGCGCTCAGACACAGGTGGGGATTTGAAAAGCTGGCTTTGTGACCTCCAGAATACACGAATAAATTACCGTAACCGCTGCTAAGGCTACAGTAACCCCTAAAAAGCTACCTCAGACAGCCGGCTACAGTAACCCGACTCTAAAAGGTGCTCTGAATAACTTCCTAACTACAGTAATCGTTCTTGTGCGCTCCAGAATGCACGAATCAATTAGCGTAACCTCTGCTAAGCTTACAGTAATCCCTAAAAAGCGACCCTAGGAAATCGAGTACAGTAACCCTAAATCTGAAATCTCTCTAAATAGTTTTCTAGATACAGTAATCGCTACTGTGCGCTCCAGCATAGAGTAATACATCGACGAAACCCGATGAGGGTTACTGTAGCCGAGAATATTAACGAGAACAGGTTCACTCGATTTTACGGAATTTCTTTGAACCAAAAAGACTCGAAATTTTTCTCAATTTCAAGCTGGATAGCACAGAATAGAATGGGATTGAAAAAAGTGAAAAAATAGCTATAAGAAAATAGCTATAAGAAAATAGCTATAAGAAAAATAGCCATTTAATATGCTAATTTTCATATGCAAATTTCGTATTCAAATTTTGTCTTATAGCGAAATTTCGCTAATTTCTCGAAATTCCAGAAACGAGAAGCGTTTGCAGTGCGCGAAATGCGACGAGCTGGTGATCAACAACGACGCGACTGTCACCGAGCACGTGCAAGCTCACGCGCATCCCGTTTCGTTTAGGTAGGGAAAATCTCCGAGATCTTAAAAGCAAACGCATGCTATTCTCAAATCTCTATCCAAGCTGGCACGCACGACACCTTTTTAGATGTCTCGTTTGCGGCTGGGAGGCCTCGGTGCGCACCTCGATGTACGCCCATATGAACGAAAAGCACCCGAAAAAGGTGAGTCCAAAAAAATTTTTTAAATTTTCATTTTCTTAAAATAAACCCCTCTAAAATATTCAATGACATCCAGGATTTGAAAAAAATTTAAAAATTTAAAAAAAAAATGAAAAACAACGTCCGCAGAGGCTCGAAGTCGCACCGCCGAAAAAAGCAACTCCTCCAAATGAAATTATTCGCGAAAAATTTGCGATCCCCTGCAAAGTGTGACTTCCATAGTTCACAGATTTGTTTTTAAAATTCAAAATTCTCTCTTAATTTTGTAGCGTTTAGCAGCCGACCTCGTTCTCGGATCGACGCGACATGACAAAGTTGTGCGCAATGATTGGAGAGTGTTTCCCAAAAGCCGGCCCGAAAATCGTGCGCCAATCGTTAGCCGGATATGTCGATCAACTAGTCAAGTGGGTTTTTTTTGGGAAGCTAAGAGTTCAGGGCTACGGGCTACAGTACCCTGCCCGAGGGCTACGGGCTACAGTACCCTAAACTCATAGTTAAAGCTAAGGAAACCGCATTTTCCTCTAATAATTCCTGGTGACCTCCAGGACTGACACAAATGTGGAAACTAGGTAACTCAGAAGATTGGAAGGCTTTAAACGACCGGGGCTCACCCAGGCTCACTCAGTATCCGTTTATAGTATAAAGATTGAGATTTTTGGTGAGCGTGAGCTCCAGGATTAGCAGAAATCTCGAAATTAAAGCAAAATATTGAAATCTCGACTTCAGAGAGTTCTCATCTCGTGGCATCGACAAGGCCAAGTGCAAACTCTGCGAAAAATGGATCCCCGTCGACAAAGCGATTATTACCAAGCACATCCACTCTCATCCGGCATACAGGTGCGTTTTAGGGTTCGAATTGAATCCAGTAATCTGTGGAGTACTGTAGCTCTAGTCTCTAAGTGTCTCAATGTACAGTAATCCCAGGGGAAGCCTTGGTCATTTGTCGAGTTATCGTAATTTTGAGTAAAAGATTTGGCTCTGTGACCTCCAGAATACACAAATCAATTGCAATAAATGCTATTAAGGCTACAGTAATCCCTAAAAAGCGACCTCAGACAACTGGCTACAGTAACCCAAATCTAGAAGGTGCTCTGAATAACTTCCTAACTACAGTAATCGTTCTTGTGACCTCCAGAATACACGAATAAATTGCCATAAGTGCTGTTAACGCTACAGTAATCCCTAAAAAGCGACCCCAGACAACTGGCTACAGTAACCCAAATCTAAAATGCGCTCCGAACAATTTTTTAACTACAGTAATCGCTACTGTGCGTCCCAGGATGCACAAATCAATTACGGTAATCTTCATTAATCTTACGATAATCCCTAAAAAGCGACCCACGACAACCGGCTACAGTAACCCAAAACTAAAAGATGCTCTGAATAGCTTTCTAGCTACGGTAGCCGTTCCTGTGCACTCCAGAATGCATAAATCAATTACAGTAATCTTCATTAATGTTACGGTAGCCGCTAAAAAGCGACCTCAGACAACTGGCTACAGTAACCCAAATCTAAAAGATGCTCTGAATAACTTTCTAGCTACAGTAGTCGCCACTGTGCATTCCAGCATAGACCAATACACTGCCGAAAATCGAATTTTCAGATGCAAAACGTGCAGATTCACTTCGACGACATCGGAGGAGCAAACCGAGCACCTTCTACGGCAGCACAACATTTCCGATCCGAAACTCTCGATTCATTTCAATCAGTGCACCGCGGCGGAGGCGTTGAGCAAGACGTTTCAACGGAGTTTCGGCGACCTTTTACCGTAACCCGTTACAATAGCCGCTACAGTAACCTTGGCGCTAAGAGTTTCCCTGGCTACCGTATCCTTGCACTGTTTTCTATTGTGCGCTCCGGCTAGACGATCTCGATCGTTTTTAATTTATTTCATCAATTGGCTTTCATTTTCTGGGCACAGTCCTGCATCAGCACTTTGGCTACCGTACTTTGTCGCTTTTTGCCTTTAAATAAATTGTGATTTTCTATGTTGCACTCCAATTTGATTCCCTGTTTTGTATTTTGATCATTTAACAAGATCTAAGGCTTATTTTTTCACCCAGCTACAAAAGCTACCGTACCCCTTAATCCAAAAACTTGCCAATTTTACAATTTTACAAAACTGATTTTTGTATTCTATTCCGTGCTTTCCAGCTTCGATTACGGTATTGATTTGACTATTGTTTTCTTTTATATATGTCGTAGCTGATTATGAATGAGCGATCTAGGAGCGGTTATGAATGAGTGGTCTAGGATTATGAATGAGCGGTCTAGGAGCGTCCAACTATCAAGCATTTACTAACATTCAACGCAGAATCATTAATAATTATGTTAAATTTTTAAAATTAGAAAGATTGAATAAAAAGAAAAAAAGTTATGGGGCCTCAAAGTTTCCTCTTTTACAAACCCTTTTTTTTGCTCTAATTTTTTTCCTTTTATCCAATCTTTCTAATTTCAAAAATTTAACATAATTATCAATGATTCTGCGTTGAATGATACTAAACACTTGATGCTTGGATGCCTGTACTGTACTGTACTGTACTGTATACAGTCTATCGTAGTCAATTATCAATAAGTAAGTCTAGGAGCGTCCAAACATCAAGTATTTAGTCTCATTCAACGCAGAAACATTGATAATTATGTTAAATTTTTGAAATTAGAAAGATTGAATAAAAAGAAAAAAAGTTATGGGGCCTCAAAGTTTCCTCTTTTAACAAACCCTTTTTTTGCTCTAATTTTTTTTTCTTTTTATCCAATCTTTCTAATTTCAAAAATTTAACATAATTATCAATGATTCTGCGTTGAATGAAACCAAATACTTGATGGTTTGACGCTTCTAAACCCGCTCATTCATAATCGGCTACGGGGGTCCGAATGAAACGTTGTAACGCCGGCAATTTTTAACCTAAACTCACAAATTTGGTACCAATCGACGTAGAATTGAATTCGCTACAGATTTACCAAAAAATTTCATTCATAATCGGCTACGACAGATATATTTTTGTTTTTTTTTTTTACGATTAACGGGTTCTCTAGCCAAATATCTCTCTCTTCTCTTTGCTGTTTTTGTTTTTCTTTTCATTTTTTCATAAAACATTTTTGCAATTATCGATGTCACAAGGGATTTTGAATGGGAAATAATGGAGCTGGACAGGTTTTAGACAGTCCTTCAGGGTTAGACTAGGGTTAGATCAGGGCCAGATTAGAGTCAAAGCCAAGGCCAGGCCAGGTCGGCCAGCGACATCAATGATACTATTTTCGGCCAGCTTTCGGCCGGTCGGCCAGTTTTTTCAAAAGCAAATAAAAATCTGTCGACATAGCTGACATCAATGATACTATTTTTGATAGAAAAATCCTCAACAAACCTCCAAATGCTCGATGCTCGGCAACTGGCGGCGTTTTGGCCCATCGACGGATGGACGACTGCAAATTATCGGTTATTAATGATTTTTCAAGAATTGAGAAGCAGAATAATAAAAAAAAAACAAGCTTTTTCTTTACAGTACGATTCGTTCGTGCTTGTTTAGCAGCCCTACCCTCGCTCCTTTCATCCGAGATAGTTCTAAGCGCTTCGTCTACACCCTTGATCAGGTCCAAGCGTTATCGTAACCTTGAGTGAAAAAGCCGGCCTTGTGACTTCCAGAATACACAAATCAATTACCATAGATGCTGTTAAGGCTACAGTAATCCCTAAAAAGCGACCCCAGACAACTAGCTACAGTAGCCCAAATCTAAAAGATGCTCTGAATAACTTCCTAACTACGGTAATCGTTCTTGTGACCTCCAGAATACACAAATCAATTACCGTAACCGCTGCTAAGCTTACAGTAATCCCTAAAAAGCGACCTCAGACAACCGACTACAGTAACCCAAACTTAAAAGGTGCTCTGAATAACTTCCTAACTACAGTAATCGCTACTATGCGTCCCAGGATGCACAAATCAATTACAGTAATCTTCATTAATGTTACGGTAGCCGCTAAAAAGCGACCCAAGACAACCGGCTACAGTAACCCAAATATCAAAGATGCTCTAAATAAATTTCTAACTACAGTAAGCGTTCTTGTGACCTCCAGAATACACGAATCAATTACCATAAATGCTGCTAACGCTACAGTAATCCCCGAAAAGCGACCTCAGACAACTGGCCACAGTAACCCGAATCTAAAAAGTGCTCTGAATAACTTTCTAACTACAGTAATCGTTTGTGTGGGCTCCAGAATGTACGAATCAATCACAGTAACAGACCCACTCACCGCAAATCCAGGTCCTCGGGCGGTAGAAGCTCGGCCGAGGAGCGCAGCGATCCTCGTGCGTGAGCTGAAAATTTAAAATCAATATATAATTTGTTTAGCTGCTCAGAAAGATTGGATGACATCCAGGATTTAGTTTTTCGACAATTTTCATTTGAAAAATCTCAAAATTGCCGGACCTTCATTGTCGTACTCGGCGCCAGCACCATGGTGAAGATTTTCGCCTGAAAGTCAGTCATTCATTTATGTCATTTTTCGAGGATTAAGTGATTAAGCTATTGTTTTTTTAAAAAATGACTTGTATATGTTAAAAGTGGCAAATTCTGAGATCGATCCGAATCTCGTTGCGCCAAAATCGGTCGATCCATCGATTTTTGAATAACTGCTTGAGGGATTCTGGAAAATGAATGAATTTTTGCGCAATCCCATTTCCAATCAACCTCGTGCCATCCAGCTGGACGAGCCGAGCGATCGTCGGTTGAGTCTGGTAAAGACCATTCCTAGAATTCTCGAGTGAAACGAGTTCAAGCTCTTTGATCGTTCCTCTTGAATGCTATTGACGAAATTCTTTTTGATATTCAAATTATGGAGGTCACATGAGAGTTTTATTCTTTTATTTCACTCACTTGATGGGCAGCGGAAGGGGTCGGCAGGCGGTCGAGGCCTCGGATCGGACCGCGTCTCGCTTCTGCTCCGGCCTGCACGTTCTAAAATTCGGGAAAATGAAAATGTGCGGTGACATCCAGAACCCCGAAAAAACTCGTTGGAATAGCTCACGTGGTAAGCGGCGGCCGCTTTTTCAAGCAGAACCTGTAGAAGTAGACGACGGTGATCACTAAGGTCAACCCCCCGACGACCCCCACCACCAAGACGAGGATCGTGAACAGCGGACGCGAGTGTTCCTGGAAAATCAAATGGAATTGAGTGGGCAAAAGGCTACGAAAGAAGGGGACAGGTTGGCCCTAGACTCAGAGTCAGGGTTGGCCCTAGACCCAGGATCAGGGTGGGTCCTAGACCCAGGGTTAGGGTTGGCCTTAGACCCAGGGTCAGGGTTGGCCTTAGACCCAGGGTCAGGGTTGGCCTTAGACCCAGGGTCAGGGTTGGCCCAGGGTCAGGGTTGACCCTAGACCCTGGACCCCAGGTCCAGGTTAAAGTTAGAAATTTTGGTTAAAATGATTTTACGCAATCTCAATGACTCCCAGGATCGCCAAAAATCAAAAACGTTTTCGAAAATTAGCCAACTAGTGCCACGAATCCAGCCATTCTCAATTCAAGCAATTCATCGTCGAGACTCTGTGCGTTCTTTTTTGATCCACATAAACGCGGACCTACTGGTGCACGCCAGATTGGGGAAAATCAATGAAAAAGCTATTGATGGACAAGCAAGAGACTGGGGAAATTGGCTGAGAAAATTTCAACGCAGAAATTTCAACTTTTCTTTGCTATTTCCTTTCTCTGCTATTTCCTTTTATTCACCAAACGAGTCACCGGCAAAAATTTACGCGTAATTCGTTTTGGCAACACTTTGGCAACGCTCTTTGGGGCTTTTTTCCGACCAAAGTTGTACTTTTCTAATTTTTGACTAATCGACGCAATTTCTCAAAGAAAACAAAGAAAATTAGAGATTTTTGAAAAAGAAACGATCAATCTGGAAGGCACAGAAGGCAAAGAAATAAAGAAATTTTGGATTTTTCAGCTTTTTGAGTTTTTTAGTTTTTTAGCTTTTTTCTTCAGTCTCGACGACTGCTTTTGACACCTAGCTCTCATTTTTTCTCCAAAAAGCGAATTAAGCGGAAAAATTGATAATAGACAGCCACAATGCCTTCCAGAATGCTCAATAATCAAAAAATTTTCGAAAAATTTCCAAAGCTCTCCAAGAAATCAAGCCATTCTCAATTCAGTAAAAGTGATTTTTTAAAAAATGATAATTTTAAGATTTTAATCATCTTTTTATGCTTTGTGCTTTCCAGATAACTGAAAAAAAAAATTCTTTGATGCTAGTTTTTTATAGAAATGAAAAGAAGTGGAGATCACTTGAAAATGCAAGCTTTATTGCTCAATAAATAGAGAATGAAAAGGCTGACGAAAGGGATAAAAACCTTTTTGAGAAATATGGATGTCACAGAGAATTTGGGGAAAGTTGGCTTTAGTGGATATCAGTTTTTGTCTTGGTTCTAAAACCCAAGTTGACTTCGGCTTGAATTTTCTTGGCCTGGTCAACAAATTTCGGGTTTTTATTAATTTTTTGGCTTTCCTGGGTGTCACCGCGGAGGAAAATGAGCGGATCGAATTTCAAAAATGAATTTTTTAAAAGAAAAGAATTTTTTCAAAAAGAAGACTTTTTTGTTCAACAAATTTCTTTACCAAACAAAAATGAGAAATTTTAAAATCGATTTTATGAGCTCGATGACTCGTGAGATCTTTACCGTGCCATCCAGAATTCAACTTTTCATTCAAAAACTTTAGAGAAACATTTGGAATTTTCGAGAAATTCATTCAAAATCTTCTCGAGTCTTGAACAGAAAGTCTTTTCTTGGTTCTCTTTGGGTTCCCAGAAACGCAGGGCTTTTGGTGCACTCCAGATTGAATAAATCTAATGGATTGAACGGGAATTCGATGAGGAATTTTAGTTTTTAGCCTCTGACTCATTTTTGGGATTATTGGGGGTTTTCCCGGTGAAATCCTATAAAGTGTCGGATGGGAAATGGCAGAGATTATGCAAATGGGCTGGGTAGCTAATAAATGCAGTTCTACTAGCTCTTGAAATGTGCTAGAATCCGTTCTCGGACCGAGCTCTGCCCCAGAAATCAGTTTTCGGGAATTCGACGGGAATCGAGAATTTCCAAAAAGTTTCAAGGCGTGAATCCTTGGAAAATCTGGCTCTGTGACCTCCAGAATACACAAATCAATTGCCATATGTGCTGTTAACGCTACAGCAATCCCTAAAAAGCGACCTCAGACAACTGGCTACAGTAACCCGAACCTAAAAGGTGCCCTGAATAACTTCCTAACTACGGTAATCGTTCTTGTGACCTCCAGAATGCATAAATCAATTACAGTAATCTTCATTAATGTTACGGTAGCCGCTAAAAAGCGACCCAAGACAACCGGCTACAGTAACCCAAATCTAAAAGATGCTCTGAATAATTTCTTGGCGGAGATGATGGAAGTGGGTTGGGTATCTGATAAATGCAGCTCTACTAGCTCTAAAGTTTTTTTCAAATATTTCGGAAAATAAAGAATTTCAAAATCAAAAAAATGGTAACTTTGTCAATACAGAAATTTTTGTTTTTGATGCTGTTGTATGTGTAAAATTTCACCTCCTTTAAAGCTCCTATTTAGTTCCTTTAAAGCTCCTTTAAAGCTCCTTTAAAGCTCCTTTAAAGCTCCTTCAAGGCTCCTTTAAAGCTCCTTTAAAGCTCCTTTGTAATGTAAAATGTAAAATTTAAAAATCTCAGATCCTGAATAAAGTTTCTATATATAAATATTTCAGAAGATAAAGAATTTTGAAAATTTCAAACAAACCTTGAAGTGTCGGGAAATTTCGACGAATTTTTATAAAGAAATAAAGAAATAAAAATAAAATAAAATTGAAATGGTAATGAATTTTTGAAAAGAAAAGAAAACTGATTTAGTTTTAGAAATCAAAATGAAATGAAGATTTCGTGGGAAATCGGGGAAAGGAAAGGCAAAAGAAAATCAGAAAATCGCGGATTGACACGTCAAATCGGAATTTGAGAGGAATTGGGGGACAAGACATCAAAAACAATATGGGATTAACTCTTTTCTTTTTTATTTGGTCTCAAATCTTTTTAGTTTAAAGTTTTCTTTGAAAAACCCTCGTTTAAAGCTCAGAAAAAAGAGTCAAAAATTGGATTGAAAGGAATCGGGCTTAAAACTCGTAAAATATCGACCTTCTGAAGTTAGAAATTCAAAATTTATCCAATCTGGAACGCACAGGGATACAAAATAATGTTTTTAACAATTCTGATAATGTTTTTTAAAGAACGAAAATGACGTCGAATGGGTTTAAAGCGTTTAGCTGAGATGGGTTCAAGCTTTTAAGGAAATTTCAGGTTTTTTGATCAATCTGGAATGCACGACGACAGGAAATAATGTTTTTAACAATTTTGGTAGCTTTTTAAAAAATGGGAATGACGTCGAATGAATTCAAAGCGTTTAGCTGGGATTGGTTCAAGGTTTCGGAAAAATTTCATATTTTTTGATCAATCTGGAACGCACAGCGATAGAAAATAACATTTTTAACAATTCTAATAATGTTTTTAAAAAATGGGAATGACGTCGAATGAGTTTAAAGCGTTTAGCTGAGATGGGTTCAAGTTTTCGGGAAAATCTCAGGTTTTTTGATCAATCTGGAACGCACAGCAATAGAAAATAACAGTTTTAACAATTCTGATAATGTTTTTAAAAAAATGGGAATGACGTCGAATGGGTTTAAAGCGTTTAGCTGGGATGGGTTCAAGTTTTCGGGAAAATTTAAGGCTTTTTGATCAATCTGGAACGCAGGACAGTTTATTTTAATATTTTTAACAATTTTGGCAATGCTGTTCATGTGGCCGAGTGGTTAGTGCTTTTGGCTCCAAGCCACATAACCCGGGTTCGAGTCCGCTCGGTGTAGTTTTGGCTATATCGACGAGAAAATGAGTGCATTAGATAGTGTGCGTTCCAGATCGAAAGATTACTTTGAGAATAATTTTGATTTCCATCAGAATTGTGGGATTAAAAGCGAGAAATCAATTTCAGTCGAAAAATAATTGATGAGGTGTCTTTTTGCAAGAAAATTCGACTTAAATAGAGGGGGAAAAAGGGAGGAGAAGCCGATTTTTCAATTTCCATAATTCACTTTTCTTTTTTTTTCTACTTTTTCCCGAGTCTATGAGAAAAAAATATTTTCAGAAAAATGTGATTAACGCTCGATTTTTTTAAGATATTATTGATATTTTGAAAGCTTAAACGTCTTTATTTTCAATGAAAATCGTTGAATAATCCGATTTTTTGATAAATCAAAACCTTTTGACCGCAAGCGGGCTCGAACCAGGATCGTGTGACTGGTAGTCGAGCCTCTTAGCCACTAGGCCAACTTTTCTTTAAGAGATTTATGATTTTAAAAATGCGCAAAATTTAGTGTGATATCCAGATTCTACAGGGAAAGTAGTAAAAGTTCGATAATTTCTTTCCTAAGCAAGAAAACCCTCCATTCTCAATTCGAAAAAGCTGATGTAATGAAATTTCGAGGTAATTTCAAGGAAATGATGCTCAATCTAGAAAAATTTCTCAAAACTGGATGTCACAGCATCAATCTATCGTTTAGTAACCGAGAAATTCGCAGCTTACCTCATCGGTTCGCATAAATAGCGGCAAGAAAAAGATGAACATGACGATTAGGATCAAAAATGAAACCAAAATCTGCTCGATTAGGTCAAACATTGAATAGTAGACTTTATAGAAGCCGTTGATAAACAAAACACCGACAGTGCACATTGTTTTTATCGAAATATTGAAATAAGACGTTCGTAGGAGTACGGTAAATCAAAAATCAAAAATTAGAAATTTTTAAGCAATCGTGAATCTTCTTTCCGCAATTTCAAGTGTGACATCCAGCTAAGACGGTGTGAAATTATGAAAAGGTTTCGGCTATCCGGGAGCTAGTTATTCGCTAGGGTAGACCTAGAAGGGGAAAGAATGCGCTAAAAACGACGAAATGCAATCAGAAACACGAAGAAAGAAGAAAGAAGAAAGAAGAAAAGGAAGAAGAAAAGGAAGCTGTGAAGCTCTAAGCATCGACTAAAGCTTTGAAATTTTTAAATTTCAAAAATTCTAAGCGATAGTTTCATTTCAAATGAATGCTTTGAAAAAAAAAAAAATAGCGTTCGACTCAAAATCGTCGAAAATTCGTTCAAAATCGATCAAAATCGATAAAAATTTCGATAATTTCTATAGACAAACATTAGCCTCACCCACAACGAGACGATCGACGCGATTGTCGTTTTCGGTTGCTGCATTTCGGCAATCGATCGAGTTGACTGGAAAATTGTGGAAATTTTCTTGATAACATTGATTTTTTTTTAAATTTTCACCCAATCTGGATGTCACATGAGATTTTGTGAGTAAAATTTTTTCAAAAAAATAAAAATAAAAAATTTTAAAAAATAATAAGAAATTTTTTTTAATTTTTAAAAAAATTAAAAATTAAAAAATTTAAAAAAAATTTTTTTTTAAATTTAAAATAAAAAAATTTTAAATTTTAAAATTTAAAAAAATGCCATTTTTTTAATGTCAGAAAAATGACGAAAAATGACTTTTTAAAAGAAAGAAATTGAATAGAAATTAGTGAAAATGAAAGGAAAAATGCGAATTCCTTATTGAAAAAGAAAAAGTCACAAAAAAGGGAAAAAAAGGCAAAAAAAAAAAAGAAGTCGGTTAATTAAAATCGAGAAGAGAATTTCAGGGAAAAAAAGAGAATTTTTGCCTTAAGAAAACCCCCATTTCGCATCGAGAATTTGTCGTTTTTAAGGTGATGTGATTGAGGAAATGGAGAGGAAATGAAGAAGATTTAACGATTTTAGTCATTTTTCATTTTTGTAAAAACTTCTGACCGTGAGCGGACTCGAACCAGGATCCTCTGCTTTGTAGCCTAGCTCACTATCCACTCGGCCACAAGCCAAATCCTAATTTTTCGCCCTTTTTTAGCTCGATGATGTCTCGTGCGTCCCAATTTTTCATTCTTCTTTCTCAGAATCAGAAATTAGAGTACTCGGACAGCAGGGAAGGCGTGCGATTGAGTTGACCGCATTTTAAGCGCTTCTATCCATTTCCAGACTCCAAATTTTTGTCCTTATCCAAACTGGATATCACAGCGTCGATTGGGATCAAAAAATCTGGACAAAAGAAGGAATTCCAGAATCTCAGACCGTGAGCGGACTCGAACCAGGATCCTCGGCTCTGTAGCCTAACTCACTATCCACTAGGCCACAATTCAAATGCGAATTTTTGGCCATTTTTTAGCTTTATTATGTCTCGTGCATTCCAATTCATCATTTTTCTTTCTCAGAATCAGAAATTAGAGTACTCGGACAGCAGGAAAGCCGTGAAATCGAGTTCATCACATTTTAAGCCAGTTCTATCAATTTTCAGACTCTAAATTTTTGTCCTTATCCAATCTGGACATCACAGCGTTGATTGGAATCAAAAAACTGAAAAAATAAAGAATTTTAGAATTCCGTCTTCATTGCACCAGGAGGTTTTGCGTTTGCAAAAGCTTTTGTAAAGCACAAAGTACACGACTTTCCACTCAGCTCTGTTGTTTGCTGTAAAAATAAGCTTTAAAAACAAAATTTTTATCAAAATCTCTCATAAAATCACACCCGTTTGACTAGAAGGAAATTTCAAAAATAAAAAAAAAAAAAAAAAAAATTTTTTGATTAAATTTTTGGATAAATTTTTTTGGCTAGATTTTTGGTTAAATCTAGAAAAAGAGGGAAATACTGTAAAGAAATTGAAAAGAAAACATTTCGTTGTAATCACAAAAAGAAAATTGGGCAAATTACGGCAAAACCCATATTTCAAAGGCGGAAAAGCGAGAAAATTGAGCAAAAAACTCGAAAATCTCATTGTTGAATGGATAATTTATAAGAGAATTTCACATCTAAATACTGTAATCATTTCGAATAGAAGGGTTTTTTAACGTTTTTTTTGTATTTTGGAAATATTTCTGCCGTGACCGGAACCGAACCAGGGTCGTTTGACTGGTAAACCCGCCAAACCCACTGAGCCAAAGTGACAATAACAGATATGAGTTTTTTAAAATATGCAAATTCTAGGGTGACTTCCAGATCGTACGGAAAAAGTCGAGAAAATTTTTGAAACTCTCTTTAAGCCGAGAAAAACGTTTGAAATCGAAAAACTCATAAAAACAGCAATTATTTGACAGTTTTGGGTACTGTAGGCAACCTATTCGAATAGCTATTGGTTTTTCAACGTTTTTTGCATTTTTGTAAAACTTCCGGCTGCAAGCGGATTCGAACCAGCATCGTTTGACTGGTAAACTCGCCAAACCCACTGAGCCAAAGGGTCAATATCAGATAGAAGTTTTTTTAAATATGCAAATTCTAGTGTGACATCCAGATCGTATGGAAAAAGTCGAGAAAATCTCTGAAACGCTCGTTAAACCGAGAAAAACGTTTGAAAGTGGAAAACCCCAAAGAATTGATGTTTTTATGAAATGTTGGGTACTGTAGGCGAGCTATTCGAATGATTACGGTATTTATCCAATTATCTAACAGGTCGCAGATCCAAACTGCTATCATATTGAATGGCTGTGATGAAAGAATCGTCTGAAGGGGCGGTGTGGAGGGAATTTATCGAAATTTCGAGTTTTTGATTCGGATTTTCAGTGGACCTTGACGGATATTGAAAACGGATGCCCTGAAATTAGTTTTACATAGTACAGCATACCTGAATATCTTTAAGAATACAGCTTTAGACCTGGCCTAGCTACCGTGAAACTCATTTTGAACTATTCTAACCCTAATCTAAGTCAGAAAATCCGGATTTTCCGACTTTTCTGGACTTTGGCTTTGTCTCTGACCTCTTAAATACCCCTGGGCTGAAGAAGATCAAAATCAAAGCAAATTTTGATCAAAAGATCAAAATTTGCTTTAGAGAACATCCCTGAAAGCTTCTTCAGTCTTGCTGAGGCTTTAGGCTGAAAACAGTGCCAAACTTATATCATAAAACGGTGATCTGGAACGCACATGAGCTATTCCACAGCTTAAAACAGTCATTGCAATCATTTCAACGTACGGTACTAGGTGCGTTCGGGATGTAGGTTGTAAGTCGACCTAATGATAAGCAGGGGGACATCTAGATACTGTATTTGTGTTATCTGGAATGCACATGAGCTATTCAATAGCTTAAATCAGTCATTGCAAGCGCATCAAGGTATGCTAGGTGAGCGGTTCATGACCAAGGCTATAAGTTGACCTGGAAATACAGTAAGGGGACATCTGGACACTGTATTTGTCTTATCTGGAATGCACGCTAGACATTCGATATCTTAAATCAGTCATTACACTCATATCAATGTACGGTACTAGGTGCGTTCGGGATGTAGGCTATAAGTCGACCTAATGATAAGCAAGGGTACATCTAGATACTGTATTTGTCTTATCTGGAATGCACATGAGCTATTCAATAGCTTAAATCAGTCATTACACTCATATCAATGTACGGTACTAGGTGCGTTCGGGATGTAGGCTATAAGTCGACCTAATGATAAGCAAGGGTACATCTAGATACTGTATTTGTCTTATCTGATGCACATGAGCATTCAATAGCTTAAATCAGTCATTACACTCATATCAATGTACGGTACTAGGGCGTTCGGGATGTGGCTATAAGTCGACCTAATGATAGCAAGGGTAATCTAGATACTGTATTTGTCTTATCTGGAATGCACATGAGCTATTCAATAGCTTAAATCAGTCATTACACTCATATCAATGTACGGTACTAGGTGCGTTCATGATGTAGGCTATAAGTTGACCTGGCAACACAGTAAGAATACATTTATCTACTGCATTCTCTTATCTGGAATACACACTACATATCCCATAGCCAGCATTTACCGTATCGACAATATTATCTAGGGTAGTACTGTAACCAGTCCTGGTTACAGTACTTTAGACTTTAGACTAAACCCAACTGCCTTGACCCCTTTAGCCAATTCTAAGCAATCCCTAGATGGTCCCGACTAAGCCTATTCTATTCCTAACCCCTCCTGCCTCTTGCTGAGCCTAAACTAAATCATTGTCACATCGTCTCAGCTTGATTCTAGCTAGCTTTTGTTGCTGTCTTGGTTCTAGCAAAATTCGACGGTCATTCTCGATTCCGGCTTTTTGTTTTTCCCTTACCGTATTGTGATTGAGATTCGGGATGACTGTCCTGACCGTGGATCCGACAGAATCTCCTCCAGCTGCCCCAAATTCCGATCCCGGTTGATAGGCGGTGCTCTCAGAGTCGAAACCACTGAAAAAAAACTCTTCTATATAAATCTAGATACATCTCTGAGTACTGTGAATAGACTATAGTTCAAGAATAGACTATAGTGTACTGTAAATAGTAGCACAAAGTACAGAGATGTTTCTAGACGATTTCCATCACCGAATCCCCCTTTAGTGCACTCCAGATCAAACAAAAAAGATTGTTAGTGAAGGGTTTTATTTTGCGAAACTCACCAAACGCTCACGCGACGCTCCATCCTAGAGAACACATGTTTAGAGATAAGATTGAGATAAGCTTTTGTTATATTTGTTCATTCTGGCTGTCACAGCTATATCTTTGGCCGTTTTGAGCCAACAAAAATCACATTTGAGAAAATCGGGCCAACCGGGGATGGCTCGTGAAAATAGCTAAAAGATTTCATCAAAAAAAAAAGCTACAGTAGCCCTGGCCTTAGCCCTGGCCTTAGCCCTGGCCTTAGCCCTGGCCTTAGCCCTGGCCTTAGCCCTGGCCTTAGCCCTGGCCTTAGCCCTGGCCTTAGCCCTGGCCCTGGCCTTTTCTATGACTGACCTAAGCCTAAGCCTTAGCCCACTGCCTACCGTAGATTGTCTAGAATTTAAAAACTAATTGCTAAAACCTTTCACGTGACTTCCAGAATTAACAAAAAATATCGAAATTTTCGTTTTAAAAAACGTTTTAATCAAAATTTCTTAATGAATTTAGAAATTAGATAAACTTAACGGAAAATCAGATATAAAATCCCTTTTTCTAAACGACAAACTTTTGTGCGATGCCTGGCGCGACTCCTTGAGCGATAAGCGCCTCTCTAGCAAGGTATTTCTCTCTCTGTTGTTGGATGAAGATCTTCTCAGGGATGTCCGGAATGGCGAAAGCGATCGCGCTCTTCAACACGAAGACCAAGTGCTGAAATTTATGTGATAAAACGGTGATCTGGAATGCACATCAGATATTCAATAGCTTAAATCAGCCATTGCAAGCGTATCAAGGTATGCTAGGTGAGCGGTTCATGATCAAGACTATAAGTTGACCTGGCAATACAGTAAGAGGACATCTAGATACTGTATTTGTCTTATCTGGAATGCACGCTAGACATTCGATAGATTAAATCAGTCATTACAATCATATCAATGTACGGTACTAGGTGCGTTCATGATATAGACTATAAGTTGACCTGGCAATACAGTAAGAGGACATCTAGATACTGTATTTGTCTTATCTGGAATGCACGCTAGATATTAGATATCTTAAATCAGCCATTACAATCATTTCAACGTACGGTACTAGGTGCGTTCGTGATGCAGGCTATAAGTTGACCTGGCAATACAGTAAGGGGACATCTAGATACTGTATTTGTCTTATCTGGAATGCACATGAGCTATTCAATAGCTTAAATCAGTCATTACACTCATATCAATGTACGGTACTAGGTGCGTTCGTGATCCAGGCTATAAGTTGACCTGGCAATACAGTAAGAATACATCTATCTACTGCATTCTCTTATCTGGAACGCACACTACATATTCCATAGCCAACATTTACCGTATCGAAAATATTATCTAGTGGTACTTGCCCTATGCATAGTACTCTAGTCAGTAGTCACTAGCTAAGGATATAGCTAACCCAACTTAACAAGCAGCCTCTTTGCCTTCCAGATCGATGATTTACCTCAAAAATGACAATGAAAAGCAATCGATAGGCGAAGATATGCCACCAGACTTGACTCCGCTCGTAGTCATGACTGCACGGCTCACCCTCGTGGAAAGAAGTGTCGTTTAGGTTTGCGCAAGGGAAACGGAAGTAGCCACGGTATCTGAAAGAAAGATTTACAAGCTATAGACAATATCTACAGTACCTAGGACAGGGTGGCCCAAGTTGCTACAGTACCACTAGACACTATGTTAACTACAGCTACATGTTTCCCTACATGTTACATCAGCTACATGTTTCAGTTTTTTCATACCAATCGACACGGTGATGTCCAGATTGAATAAGGGCAAAAATTTGGAGTCTGGAAATCGATAGAACTGGCTTAAAATGTGGTGAACTCGATTTCACGGCTTTCCTGCTGCCCGAGTACTCTAATTTCTGATTCTGAGAAAGAAAAATGAAAAATTGGAACGCACGAGACATAGTAAAGCTAAAAAAGGGTCAAAAATTCGCATTTGAATTGTGGCCTAGTGGATAGTGAGTTAGACTACAAAGCAGAGGATCCTGGTTCGAGTCCGCTCACGGTCTGAGTTTCTGGAATTCTTTCTTTTGTTTAGTTTTTTTGATATCAATCAAGGCTTTGATATCCAGTTTGGATAAGGACAAAAATTTAGAGTCTGGAAATTGATAGAACTGGCTTAAAATGTGGTGAACTCGATTTCACGACTTTCCTGCTGCCCGAGTACTCTAATTTCTGATTCTGAGAAAGAAAAATGATGAATTGGAATGCACGAGACATAGTAAAGCTAAAAAAGGGCCAAAAATTTGCATTTGGCTTGTGGCCTAGTGGATAGTGAGCTACCCGTAGTACTTAGCACGGCTACAGTGTCCCACTATAGGTGCTATCCCTTTTCCTCACCTGCACATGGATACATTTTGTCTCTCAGCATAGTATCGTCCCATTGTATGCTCTCGGAAATCCTTGATATCAAAATAAGAGAGGGAAAAGTTTGCGTAACTGTAAATGTCGATTTTGGTTTTTTAATTTCTTTTATTTTATGCTGTGCGTTCCAGAATGGAAGAAAAATAGGTTTTTATCTTTTTTAAACTCACCCAGACATATCATAATCATGTGTGAAGAAATAATAAGTTCTTGGGACGAAATCCGACGTGAAAGCGATTACTAATGCGTTGATAATCACAGAGCATTTACTGATTCCATCGAGGATTGGCAACCAGACACCAATATTCTTTGCCATCGCTGGGAGTGGGCGTTGAGCGTGGAGGAGGAACTGGAAAAAAGTCGGAGCTTTGATTTTGGATTTTGGATTTTGGATTTTGAAAAGGGCAAAGGTAGGGGGTAAATTTGAGAAATTTTTGAGCTTTTTGAGCTTTTCGTTAACTCCGTTTTCTAAAAGACAGAGATTTTCGTAAACTATTGTAATGTGGTCGTAGGTAAAGGCTGTAGGTAAAGGCTGTAGGTAAAGGCTGTAGGTAAAGGCTGTAGGTAAAGCTAGGGGCTGGGAAGCGTGAGGCTGGGGGCTGTGGTAGGCTGGAGGCGGGGTGGAGGCTAGGAAGCGGAAAGGCTGGGAAGGCCATAGGTAAAGGCTGTAGGTAAAGGCTGTAGGTAAAGGCTGTAGGTAATGTGGCCGTAGTTTCGTATCGTATCGTAGTTTCGTATCGTAGTATCGTATCGTATCATAGTTTTGTATCGTATTTTCGTTTCGTATCGTAGTTTAGCTCAATTTTTGTCTCATTAGCTCAAAATTAGCTCAATTTTTGTCTCATTAGCTCAAAATTAGCTCAATTTTTGTCGAATTTAATGCTAAATTCGCTTAACTTTCGTATCATTAAATAAAAGAAGCTTTGACTTGAAAACTTGATTTCCCATTTCCCCAAACGAAATACCTTTTTTGCGTCAAGTCGAATCTCCATTATATTATTGAATAAAGCGAACAGAGGAGCCAACGGGAATGCCGCCACAAAAAGAGTGACAAAGCCGAATTGCAGCACTGGAATAGAAAAAGATCAATTTAGTACAGTTCATCCAGAACCCTAGAAAGCTTTTTCAACGTTTTTAAACCTTTTCAACGTTTTTCAACGTTTTGCAAAAATTCAGGTTGCGACCGGATTCGAACCAGGATCGTTTGACTGGTAAACTCGCCAAACCCACTGAGCCAAAGTGTCAATAGCAGATATGAGTTTTTTCAAATATACAAATTCTAGGGTGACCTCCAGATCGTATGGAAAAAGTCGAAAAAATTTCTGAAACGCTCGTTAAACCGAGAAAAATGTTTGAAAGTGGAAAACTCATAAAAACAGCAATTCTTTGGCAATTTTGGGTACTGTAGGCGACCTATTCGAATAGTTATTGGTTTTTCAACGTTTTTTGCATTTTTGCGATAATTCAGGTCGCGACCGGATTCGAACCAGCATCGTTTGACTGGTAAACTCGCCTGACCCACTGAGCCAAAGTGTCAATATCAGATAAGAGCTTTTTAAAATATGCAAATTCTAGGGTGACATCCAGATCGTATGGAAAAAGTGGAGAAAATCTCTGAAACGCTCGTTAAACCGAGAAAAACGTTTGAAAGCGAAAAACTCGAGTCTGGGCTGGATTTGAGCATTTCTGATGGCTAGGATTACTGTAAATGTTACTGTAAATGTTCTTGTACATGTACTTTACAGGTACAGGTAGCTGATACTTGACAATTAGAGAATTTAAAACAGCAGAAACACACCCATTTCGAGGTATTCGTCGAAGAGAAATTGATCGTGCACTGGGCTCAAATAATAATCGGTTTCCCATCTAAAAAATCAATAAATGAATAAAAGATATTCAGTTAACTTTTAGTGAGAGATTTGCATGCTAATTTTAAATATTTTGTAAAGAGTTTGTTAGTGTAAAAAAAAAGCATCCCCAGGCCGATTTTCGCATTTTCTCTCACCGCGATAATCTATGCTGAATCGCGTATTTTATCGACGAATAGCGACGCCACGAACGACGACTACTCCCGTAACGATTGTTTCTAAGGATAGAGTTTTAAAAGAATAACAATAGACTATAGTAGGGGGATACAGTGATCAACTGTACCCAGCCATACACATTTCCCTAACAATAGAAAAAAGATAGCTGGATAACCTTGTAACACTAGAGTGCCTTCCAGATAAGCTGAACACGAAATAGTTTTAGAATCGGGCCCTTCTAAAAGAAGCTAGGTACTCAGCTATAAACCTGACACCCCAAAACTATCCCCTTCCAACCATTTGACGCCACGAACGACGACTACTCCCGTAACGATTGTGTCTAAGGATAGAGTTTTAAAAGAATAACAATAGACTACAGCAGGGGGAAACAGTGACCTACTGTAGCCAAGACAAGGGACATCTTACTGTACCCAGCCATACTCATTTCCCTAACAATGGGAAAAGAGAGCTGGATAACCTTGTAACACTAGTGTGCCTTCCAGATAAGCTGAAAACGAAATAGCTTTCAGAATCGGGCCCTTCTAAAAGAAGCTAGGTACTCAGCTATAAAGCCTGACACCCCAAAACTATCCCCTTCCAACCATTTTCTAATTTTCTTTACTCAAAATGTTGTGTGCTTTCCAGATCGTCGTTTTAAAGTCTTGAGGAAAATTGGATTTGAATTTATAATGGACATTTGCACTCAGCTACCTAACCTGTCCAGATCTTGCTTAAAATCAAAAAGAAAATTTAGCCAAAATTTCCATTTTTTTCAAATTCGAAATTTTTTTTACCCAAAACGTTGTGTGCCTTCCAGATGGCTGTTTTACGAAAAAATATTAGCCACTAACTTTTGTGATAAAACTGGAAACCCGACCCTAGTCTAATTGTGCAAGACTAGACTAATTGTGCTGGGTAAACACTAGAGTGCCTTCCAGATAAGCTGAAACCGAAATAGTTTTCAATTTGGTCCCTTCTACAAGAAGCTAGGTACCCAGCTATAAAGCCGACACCCCAAAACTGTCCCCTCCCAGCCATTTTCTAATTTTCTTTACTCAAAACGTTGTGTGCCATCCAGATAGCTGTTTTATGAAAAAATATTAGCCACTAACTTTTGTGATAAAACTGGAAACCCGAGCCTAGTCTAATTGTGTAAGTGGTGATGGGTAAACACTAGGGCTGAAAAGACTGCCTTCCAGATAAGCTGAAAACGAAATAGTTCATTGAATTTGGTCCCATTCAAAAAGAAGCTTAGGTCCTCTAAAACTCGTTTCTGACTTCACCCTCGACTAGTAAAGAGGTTTCTCTAGAGTAGTAAAAAAAAAATATAAGATTTTCATTTTCCCAACCTGCTCACATGGCTCTTCGCGGCCATTTTTTTCTTTTGTTCTTTCCGCGATTCGGCGTCGTTTTTCACGATGAACTTGTACTGACGAATTTTGCCCATTATGTAACTAAAGTTTCTATTGTTTCTATTGTTTTTTCGTCGTTTTTAGAACCTATTTAGAACCTTTTACAAGTATGACGTCATAGCCGGTCAGGGGTACTGTATTTTGAAGCTTTTTCGTATTTTTTTTGACTATATGGAACGCACAGAAAGTTTTCGGATAGTTTAAATAAGAATTCTCGCAAAATTGTGGTTTTGCTAAATCGCGCTCCAGCTACCGTAACCCGATGACCCAATTTGAGTGAATGCTTTGTAAAAACCAATGAATGGATGTAGTGCGCTCCAGATTGAGTTATGAAATATTAAAAAGAGTACGGTACTTGTGAGAATTAGTGGAAAATTAGAGGATGACGGCCCGGGATACGAGTATGACGTCATAACTGGCCAGGGGTACTGTATTTTTAAGACTTTTCGTATTCTTTAGCGTATATGGGAAGCACAGAAGGTTTTCTGATAGTTTAAATGCGAATTCCTGTGATTTTGCTAAATCGCGCTCCAGCTACCGTAACCCGATGACCCAATTTGAGTGAATACTATGCAAAAGCTTATGAATAGCTGTAGTGCGCTCCAGATTGAGCCACAAGATATTAAAAATGGTAGGGTACTTGTGAAAACTAGCGGAAAAGGCTTAGAACTCATTTTAGCCTTTAAACAACTGCCCTTGAGCACCTTTATTAGGAGATAAAACTCACGGATATAAAGTCTCCATGAAAGCCGAGAAGAACTGCTTTCCGCACATGATGATTACCAATTGGATGACTAATTCAGCGAAACAACCCGCCGAGTCACAACCCTAGAAACGGGGTACTGTAGTCTCACAGGTACTAAGCTATTCAGCTATTCAGCTATTCAGCTATGCAGCATTGACCTTGTTTACCCACTCACCTCCAACGTGATCCCATAATACGCTCGTTTCGGGTTCTCAGTGAAAGCTCCTTTAAAAAAAGCAATGTAGAAGAGAGAGGAATAGTAATTGACGAATTGGAAGAGGAAAACCTGGAAAGGAATGGGTAAGAGAAGACATAGAATAGCTGAAAGTTAATCCTGGAAGGCACTAGAGCCATAGTGGCATTCATAGTAATCCTAGATACAATACTAATTTTTATAGTCTGCCGTCCATAGTACTCTTCGGAGTGATCAAAATTTGAATAACATTTCCGCCAAGTTGATTTTTCTATACTGTGACATCCAGGATGAATTTTGGTAAGCACGAAAGTTTCCTATTACTACGTTTTTCCAGAAAAAATCCGTAGTATCCGTTCCATAGTAGTACTGTAGTCTAACAGAATCTTCTTAACAGCTTAAAGCTAAGATTTTATGTAGTGTGAGTTCCATAATGATACTATAGCTGATCAGAATCCTTCTAACACTTTAGAGCTACGAGATTTTGCATAGCGTGCTTTCCATAGTACTGTAGTCTAACAGAATCTTCTTAGCACCTTAAAGCTATGTTATTTCACGTAGTGTGAGTTCCATAATGATACTATAGCTGATCAGAATCCTTCTCCCTTCCTTGAGATTTTTAGGGGGGCTTTTTTAAGTAGTACTGTGGTCTAACAGAATCTTCTTAACACTTTAAAGCTAAGATTTTACGTAGTGTGAGTTCCAGAATGATACTATAGCTGATCAGAATCCTTCTAACACCTGCGAGCTACGAGATTTTACATAGCGCGCGTTCCATAGTACTGTAGTCTATCAGAATCTTCTTACCACCTTAGATTTATCGTATTTTACGTAGTGTGACTTCCATAATGACCGAAAAAACTCACTTTGAACGTGTACTGATTATCGAATTCGGCTTGTGTCCGCGGACATTCCCATCGTGTCAACCAGTGCGCCAAGCGATTGTAAAACTAAGAGGATTACGGTAAGTTTGAAGGGTTTAAGGAAAATTACCGTATTCATCGGCAGAATGACGAACATGTTTAGGGTGGCGGCGGTGATCGAGACGAGCAAGAACGAGATCTGATCGACGAGTGGCTGATCCTGGGAGTTGAGGAGTTGATAGGCGATCACACGGTAAACCACCATGCCGAAGACGACGGCCAGCACGAGACAGATCTATGAGAAAAACTGGATAGACTTGGCAGGAGTTCACGCGTAAAAATTGTGGTTTTGCTAAATCGCGCTCCAGCTACCGTAACCTCATGACTCAATTTGCCAGACAGCTTTGCAAAAGCTTATGAATAGCTGTAGTGCGCTCCAGATTGAGCTACAAGATATTAAAAATGGTACGGTACTTGAGAAAATTATTGAAAAATTCGATGAAGGCCTGGAATTCGAGTATGACGTGATAGCCGCCCAGGGGTACTGTATTTTCAGGATCTTTTGTATTTTTTGGTGTATCTGGGAGGCACAGGAGGTTCTCTGATAATTTAAATCCGAATTCCTGAATAAATTATGGTTTTGCTAAATCGCGCTCCAGCTACCGTAACCTCATGACTCAATTTGATAGACAGCTTTGCAAAAGCTGATGAATAGCTGAAGTGCGCTCCAGATTGAGCTATGAAATATTAAAAAGAGTACGGTACTTGTGAAAATTAGTGGAAAATTAGAGGATGACGGCCCTGGATACGAGTATGACGTCATAACTGGCCAGGGGTACTGTATTTTTAAGACTTTTCGTATTCTTTAGAGTATATGGGAAGCACAGAAGGTTTTCTGATAGTTTAAATGCGAATTCCTGCATAAATTGTGATTTTGCCAAATGACGCCCTAGCTACCGTAACCTTATGACTCAATTTGACAGACAGCTTTGCAAAAGCTTATGAATAGCTGCAGTGCGCTCCAGATTGAGCTACAAAATATTAAAAATGGTAGGGCACTTGGGAAAATTAGCGGAAAAAGCTCAGGACCAGATCGGAGGGATTGACCTGAAAGAGATCTCCCAGCCTGGACAGGCCCAGTTCGAGCTGTCCTGTTTGGACAACGGTAACCTTCTGGCCCATTTACAAAAACAATTTGTAAGTGATCTTTTACCCAATCTTGCTGGCATAAGTTTACAATATGTTTCCAAAAAAAGCACTCACAAAAAAGAGCACTGTCGCGCCGCTGCCAATGAAATTTTTGAATTTCTTCTGAAACGTCAGATAGGGCTCGTCCTTTTGCGTGATCGGATTGAAGCGTTTCGTTTTCACTTGCAGCTGAAATTCGGGACGGGCGCGTTCCTGGAAGTCGAAAGTTGCATTTAGCGAAAATTTCCATTTTTTTCAAATTCGAGATTTTCTTTACCCAAAACGTTACATGCTTTCCAGATGGCCGTTTTACGAAAAAAATATTACCCACTAACTTTTGTCGATAATTTTATTTCAGCTCGACCACCCATCACTCACCTCCTCCACCACGAAATCCATCAATCCCCATTTCCAGGCCACTTCCGCGTGGTATCGCTTCCAGCCCTCCAGAAAAAGAGTCGCCCAGACGGTCATGCAAACGGCGAAGATTACGGTGGACGTGTTGTCGAATAGGTAGGAGGCCTGCAAATCGAGTATGACGTGTTAGCCGGTCAGGGGTACTGTACTTTTAAGATTTTTTGTAGTTTTTGGTGTATATGGGAGGCACGTAAGGTTGTCTGATAATTTAAATACGAATTCCTGCATAAGTTGTGGTTTTGCAAAATCGCACCCCGGCTACCGTAACCCGATGACCCAATTTGACAGACAGCTTTGCCAAAGCTTACGAATGGCTGTAGTGCGCTCCAGATTAAGCTACAAGATATCAAAAATGGTACGGTACTTGTGAAAATTAGTGAAAAATTCGAGTATGAGGGCTCGGGATACGAGTATGACGTCATAACTGGCCAGGAGTACTGTATTTTTAAGACTTTTCGTATTTTTTGGGGTATATGGGAAGCACAGAAGGTTTTCTGATAGTTTAAATGTGAACTCCTGTGGTTTTGCTAAATCACGCTCCAGCTACCGTAGCCCGATGATCCGATTTGATCGAATACTTTGCAAAAGCTTACGAATGGCTACAGTGCCCTCCAGATTGAGCTACAAGATATCAAAAATGGTACGGTACTTGTGAAAATTCGCGGAAAAGGCTTAGAACTCACTTTAGCATACAAACAACTGCCTTTGAGGCGAGCGAAGTTGCACCCGTGGGAGACACAATGCGGACAGACCCACTCCGAGCCTCCGAAGCCATCCTCATCGCAGATATCATTGCTAAATTTTATGTTATACGGTGTTATAAGCAAGGAGACGATGGTCAGGCTTGTGTTTAGGGTTACGGTAGCTTTTAGGGGTTAAAGATTTGATCGAAATCTACTTACCTGACAATATCTCGACTCAAATGATACCATCCGAACAACAAGGCGACAATCCCGATCAACGACGCCGGATACAAGGCTCTCGTGTAGTACCCAAGCCACGCAAAGTACAAGCCGACTTTCGTGCCGAAGTAACGCCTGGAAAATTGCGGTGTGACATCCAGGATTACCCCTTCAATACTTGATCAGATCCAGTGGTTGATATTTGAAGAAATTCCGAAAGCTTGCCCATTTCGCATAAAGTAGCTCGCGTTGTGTGAGGTCTGTGTCTCGGCGCTCGGCTTTGTTGCGCATTTCCTAGAAGCTGGATGTCACAAAAGCTTTTGCGAAATCGCAGAACGCCACAAAATTGGTGGAAAATTAGAGGATGACGGCTCGGGATAGGAGTATGACGTCATAACTGACCAGGAGTACTGTATTTTTAGGATCTTTTGTATTTTTTGATGTATCTGGAAGGCACAGAAGGTTTTCTGATAGTTTAAATGTGAATTCTTGCATAAATTGTGATTTTGCTAAATCGCGATCCAGCTACCGTAACCTGATGACTCAATTTGACAGACAGCTTTGCAAAAGCTTATAAATGGCTGTAGTGCGCTCCAGATTGAGCTACAAGCTATTAAAAAGAGTACGGTACTTGTGAAAATTAGTGAAAAATTAGAGGATGACGGCCTGGAATTCGAGTATGACGTGATAGCCGGCCAGGGGTACTGTATTTTTAGGATCTTTTGTATTTTTTGGTGTATCTGGGAGGCACAGAAGGTTTTCTGATATTTTAAATGTGAATCGAAATTGTTTCAAAACCTGATGCAGTGGATAAGCAGCGCTGAACGTGCCACTAGCTAACAAGCGCTCGATTCCCACTCGGTAATGTGGTTCGCTGGTGAGCGGGTGCTCCTCAGTGATGCCCGAATCGTATCTAAATCAAGAGATAGATATAAAATTTTCCGATTTAGACCGAGCTGGCATTCGGGTCTTGAATCTCAGCCGGTCTAGCCCCAACCTCGCTCGAATCAACAAATCGTAGACCATCCGACATCGCTCAGCGTTCGGAAACAACAAATCCGGGCGATCCCAGTTGACGAAACTAAAAGGGTGCTCTCACAAACTTTCACTTTGACATAAATTTCTGATTTTCTTGAAAATTGAATATTTTAGCTGGATGTCAAAAAAGGTTTTGAGAAGAAGTAACCTGGCTAAGCTGGTTAAGTAACCTGGCGGTAATCCTACAGTACCTCTGCTAGTTCCTTTTTTTAACTACAGTAGTCCCTTTTATTGTTCCTACAAGGTTATGGCTACAGAAAGCGTCTCAATTCGAGGATGACGTGACAAGCCTGCATAGATTGTCACAAAAGGTTTTGAGAAGAAGTAACCTGGCTAAGCTGGTTAAGTAACCTGGCTGTAATCCTACAGTACCTCTCTACTAGCCCCGGTTCTAACTACAGTAGTCCTTTTTATTGTTCCTACAATGTTATACAATATTTTAGCTGCATTATTTTAAAAGCTGGATGTCACAAAAGGTTTTTCGAATTTTAAAACATTAAAAATGTTAAGTTTTAAAAATTGACTCTGCTGTTTTTATCAAAAGAGAGAATTTTCAGAAACATACCCCTTCTGGAAAACCATTTTTGCGTATTTATGCGATCTGGATGTCACAGAAACTTTTGAGAATCGCTAAATAACCTGGCGGTAATCCTACAGTACCTCTACTAGTCCCTGTTTTAACTACAGTAGTCCTTTTTATTGTTCCTACAATGCTATGGCTACAGTAAACGTCTTAATTTCTATTCTATGGAACGCACATAAGGTTTTCTGATAGTTTAAATGCGAATTCCGGCATAGATTGTGTTTTTGCTAAATCGCGCCCTGGCTACCGTAATCTTATGACTCAATTTGACAGACAGCTTTGCAAAAGCTTATGAATAGCTGCAGTGCGCTCCAGATTGAGCTACAAGCTATTAAAAATGGTATGGTACTTGTGAAAACTAGCGGAAAAGGCTTAGAACCCTAAAAATCAAGTATGACGTGACAGCCGGTCAGGGGTACTGTATTTTTAAGGTTTTTCGTATTTTTTGGAGTATATGCCACGCACCTAAGGTTTTCTGAAGCGAATTCCTGCAAAGATTGTGACTTTTGCTAAATCGCGCTCTAGCTACCGCAACCCGATGACTCAATTTGAGAGAATGTTTTGTAAAAGCTTACAAATGGCTATAGTGCGCTCCAGATTAAGCTACAAGCTATTAAAAATGGTACGGTACTTGTGAAAATTAGCGGAAAAAGCTTAGAACTCACTTCAGCATACAAATCTGTCGATAAATACTATAAAACTTTGCTAGAATACTTTGCTCTTTCGCACAGTAACATGGCTACAGTACTCCTAAACGTCCCTACCAGATTTACAATATTTTGTGCCTAAATGAAGTCCAATTTTCTAGCTACAGTGCCCTGGAAATGTCTGATACAGTGTACAGTGCCCGTGCAGTTCAGTAGCATGTTATAGCTACAGTAATCTAGCTACAGTAAACTCACTGTTGCCTTCGATCCGATGAATATGGCGAGGTGAAATAGTCGGGTTCATTTAGTAGTTGATTCGTGTGTTCATCAAACTCAAAAATTTTCATTCGATTTAGCCAACGATCGACGACTCCAGGAAGAATATTTCTTTCCTAAAATTAACATTTAAACTATAAAATAAACATTTAGACGAATAGAGAAAGAAGCTAAGGGATTCTAAGCTCAAATTTGTAAACGCATCTTTCCTATAGCTGATCTACTACAGCTGATCTACTATAGCTGATCTACTATAGCTGATCTACTACACCTGATCTACCATAGCTGATCTACTATACCTGATCTACTACAGCTGATCTACTATAGCTGATCTACTATAGCTGATCTACTACACCTGATCTACCATAGCTGATCTACTATACCTGATCTACTACAGCTGATCTACTATAGCTGATCTACTATAGCTGATCAGAATCCTTCTAGGACCCTAAAGCTACGCTATTTCACGTAGTGTGAGTTCCAACGCATCTTTCCATTGGCAATGACACTGGTTTTCAATATGGAAATTACTTGTGAAAATCAGCTTTCAAATCAGCCTTCAAATCAATCTTCAAAGAGCCAGATAAAGTACGTTTACAAACTTTGAACACAAAGTAAATGAATGACAAGGCTACAAGGGTGAAATGGAGGTGTTTGGTGGAGAGTGCATTGCAGTTCTCATTGTGAATCTCATTGCGAATGTCATTGCCATTCTCATTGTGAATCTCATTGCAATTCTCATTGCGAATCTGGCTATGGATTCGACTTTCTACTGAACCCCTTTTCTCACTTATCCATGCTTTAGATAAAAAAGATTCTTAACAAAAGCAAAAGCTGAAATGCTGAACACTTGGAAAACAAAGAGACAAACATTGTGGATGACCGTTTCGATTGTTTCGAAAAAGTCGAAAATACTCCGCGAGGGTTTTGCTTTCTGAAAGGAAATCAATTCCCAAATCGATGAAATCTAGGAAAAATTGAAGTGTGAGTTCCATAGTGATGCTGTAGCTGATCAGAATCTTCTCAGCATCTTAGAGCTACGAGATTTTATGTAGTGGGCCTTCCATAGTAGTACTGTAGTCTAACAGAATCTTCTTAACAGCTTAAAGCTAAGATTTTACGTAGTGTGAGTTCCATGATGATACTAGAGCTGATCAGAATCCTTCTAACACCTTAGAGCTGCGAGATTTTATGTAGTGTGAGTTCCAGAATGATACTATAGCTGATCAGAATCCTTCTAAAACCTTCGAGCTACGAGATTTTACATAGCGTGCCTTCCATAGTAGTACTGTAGCTTTTCAGAATCCTTCTAGGGCCCTAATGCTAAGTTATTTCACGTAGTGTGAGTTCCATAGTGGTACTATAGCTGATCAGAATCCTTCTAACACCTTAGAGCTATGATATTTTACGTAGTGTGAGCTCCATGATGATACTAGAGCTGGTCAGAATACTTCTAGCCACCATAATTCACAGTATTTTGCGTAGTGTGCGTTCCAGAATCACCCAAAACACCAAAATCGAAAGTCCCCTGCCACTCTGACCTCCATTTCCACGTCGCTTCTCTTCACGGGCAATTTCACTGTCAACAGCTGCGCCTGCTTCTCGAGGAGCTCAAAGGGTGCGTGCACGAGCACGTACTTTGTGTTGCCAAGCTAAATTTGGATAAATTTATTTAGAAATACGTCGTACAACTATGTACAGATTAAAAAAAAACCGAGCAGCCCTGTTACCCGAGTCGCGTACTTTGTGCTCGCTCATTAACGCGCGCTCCCTGGGACACCAAATTGAATTTTAAGAAACTTGGGAATCTGATTGATGGAAATTGTTCAGTGTATGCCAGATAAGGCAAATAAAATTTAAAATGATACCATAAAACTCGAAATTCGTTGAGAATCGTCGTGAATCGAGTTCACTCCATTTTCTAGCAATTTCTCCAACTTTCAAATCCCAAAATTTTTCCAGTTTTCAAATTGGATGTCACAGCGTAGACTGGCAGTAAAAAAAAGGGAAAATTGAAGAATTTGAGTGCACCAGAAAGGGTGCGTTTGCTAGGGGGAAAGTTTGGGCACAAAGTACACGAAGAACTTTTTGTCGAGCTTTTTTTGAGTCTCACCTCTCCCGTGCACATCTCCAAATCCAATCCCATCATTTGCAAATTGTGCAAATATTTCTTTCGGCGTTCATCCTTTTTCCGAGCAATCATTCGCGTTTTTTGCGTTCGCCGCGATTTAAAAACGCTCGACGTTTTCGAGATTTGCTGAAAAGTCGAAAAGATCGTTCTATTCTCCTTCTATTCTGGTTCTATTCTGGAATTTGGATAAAATACCGTAATCCTAGAGAGCTTAAATTCGAAGATGGAAGGCCTGGAATTCGAGTATGACGTGATAGCCGGCCAGGGGTACTGTATATTTAGGATCTTTTGTATTTTTGTGGGGTTTTGGGAATGATGTTTTTTGAGGTTAATTTATTTATAATTTAATATATTTAAAGGGGGTGCGGTTCTTTTTAAATTGTGGTGAGGTAAATAACCGGGGGGGGGGGGGGGGGAGATTCTTGGGGTATTTTTGGTGTATCTGGGAAGCACAGAAGGTTTTCTGATAGTTTAAATCCGAATTCCTGCATAAATTGTGATTTTGCTAAATCGCGCTCCAGCTACCGTAACCTGATGACTCAATTTGCCAGACAGCTTTGCAAAAGCTTATAAATGGCTGTAGTGCGCTCCAGATTGAGCTACAAGCTATTAAAAAGAGTACGGTACTTGTGAAAGTTAGTGGAAAAAATTGCGTTCGCCGCGATTTAAAAACGCTCGACGTTTTCGAGATTTGCTGAAAAGTCGAAAAGATCGTTCTATTCTCCTTCTATTCTGGTTCTATTCTGGAATTTGGATAAAATACCGTAATCCTAGAGAGCTTAAAGCTAGCTGGGTGCCCTATCAAATCGAGTATAAATATTTTTTATATTGAAAATTGAAAATCCGAATTTCTGAATCCTAAAAATTCTCGTGTGACATCCAGATAGAAGAAAAAAAGCAATTAAAATAAAATCCCTTTTGCCAATTTTTTGGAAACATCACGAACTCTTGGCAGTACGATGGGGAAGTAATTTGTCGGCTGCTTTGCCTCAAGTTAAGCCTAAATAAGAGAATTTTTGGGTACTTTCCTGTTATCGCCACTATTTACTACTGTATTTACAAAAAAAATTGCATAAAAGAAAGTCTGAAATGAATAAAATCACAAAAAAAAAGACGATATTGATGTTTTTTTGAGGACTTCGAACATTTTGAGGAGCTATAGTACCTATAAAACAGCTATAAACAGCTTCATTTTGGGGCAAAACATGGTAAATCTATCTAGGAGTACTGTGGCCGGTTAGTGTAAGAAAGCATTGTAGGTTCATCAACAGATTTGTATGCTAAAGTGAGTTCTAAGCCTTTTCCAATAATTTTCACAAGTACCCTACCATTTTTAATATCTTTTAGCTCAATCTGGAGCGCACTACAGCCATTCGTAAGCTTTTGCAAAGCTGTCTCTCAAATTGAGCCATCGGGTTACGGTAGCCAGGGCGCGATTTAGCAAAACCACAATTTATGCAGGAACTCGGATTTAAACTATCAGAGAACCTCCTGTGCCTCCCAGATACACCAAAAAATACAAAAGATCCTAAAAATACAGTACCCCTGGCCGGTTATCACGTCATACTAGAATTCCAGGGCGTCACACTCGAATTTTCCGCTAATTCTTACAAGTACCCTACCATTTTTAATATCTTGTAGCTCAAGCTGGAGCGCACTACAGCTATTCATAAGCTTTTGCAAAGCTGTCTGTCAAATTGAGTCATAAGATTACGGTAGTCATGGCGCAATTTAGCAAAACCACAATTTATGCAGGAATTTGCATTTAAACTATTAGATAACCTTATGTGCCTCCCATATACTCCAAAAAATACAAAAAATCTTAAAAATACAGTACCCCTAGCCGGCTATCACGTGATCCTCGAATTGAGACACTTTCTGTAGCCATAACATTGCAGGAACAAAAAAAAGGGGTACTATAGGTTAAAACAGGGACTGTTAGGCGTACTGTACAAGGTGCTGCTGATGAGCTATAGTACTATTATGAAACTTACACTAGGCAAAATATTGTAAATTACAGTGGCTAGGAGAGTTTTGATGGCTTTGATGGGAGTTCGTGACTATTCCAAAAAATTGGCAAGAGGGATTTTATTTGAATTGCGTTTTTTCTTCTATCTGGATGTCACAGTAGAATTTTTAGGGTTCGGGGAAACGGATTTTCGACTTTCAACAAAATCTTTTTTATCAGTAAGCCAGAAATCCCACTTGTCCAATAATGGCCAATGTATTTTTTCTTCTCGCTGAATTCCCCTGTTCACTTTCTTCATCAGAGCTCTCGTCAACAGTCTCCGGTGGTCGCACCAAATCACTCTCATCCTCTTCATACGCCAAAACGTAATCGATCTAGATCAGGATTAGGATTTTTGGCTTAGGATTTTTGGATTAGGTTTTTCGCGTGTAGGACTGTGTAGGACTTTATTTCCTCTACATTTCTCATCTAATTGGATGTCACACAACGATTTTTATAAATTAGAATTCCATTTTAAAGCTTAGAAAATTTCGAGAAAAATTTCGAAAAATGACTAATTTCAATTTCGCGTCTATTAGCAAAATAAAACTTTAAAAACTCGTTGTGTGTTCCAGAATGAGCAATGCGGCAATGAAAATGTTTGATTTCCTCTCACAAACCTGTCTTTTCCCATCGCGAAAGTAGCAGCGCTTGTCCCACTCTAAACGGAGCGCCTCTTGGACGGTGGCGTCTTGTTGCTTGAAACATAGAATATATTCAAGAAAGATTGATGGTAAAATTCGAGTCATATGATAGTTAGACGGTAGTTAAATGGTAGTTAAACGATCGTCAAATTCGTCAAATTTCCAAGTCAAACAACCCTGGTTCGATTCCGCTAGCAGCCAAATTTACATCAAAAAAGTCGATTTTCTCGATAAACATTAGAAATTCTGGCTTTTCTTAAAAATTGATAAACTCAGCAATTGCGTGTTTCGCAAAAATCCCTAATGAGCACCTTGGGGAGACGTTTTTTTTTGAGAAAATTGAGAAATTTCGAGTTCTTCAAAATTTTTTCATTCTAGTTACTTTTCCAAAAAAACAAAGCTTTTTCTCGTAAAAGCTGGATATCACACTAAATTTTGCGCCTTTTTAAAATCCCCTATCTGCTAGTGGAACATTGGCGCAGTGGCTAAGCGGCGTGACTAGCGTCAAGTCAAGCGACCCTGGTTCGAGTCCGGTTGGAAGCAAACATTTTTTGGATAAGCTGGATATCACACTACATTTTGCGCCTTTTTAAAATCCCCTATCTGCTAGTGGAACATTGGCGCAGTGGCTAAGCAGCGCGACTAGTGTCAAGTCGAGCCATCCTGGTTCGGGTCCGGTTGGGGGCAAAATTTTTCTCGTTTTCTCTTTTCACTTCATTAATTTAAAAGGGTTGATTTTTCTCTCAATTTTCTGAGCTTTACCTCGTATTTTTTCTCTTCAATTTCATCCGGTATGATCCCATCTTTTTCCTCTAATCCATCGCCCTGAAAAAAGAAGAAAAATTTGGCTCAAGGTCAAAAAAATTTCCGGAGTTGATTAGGGTAAGCTTTAGATGTGGAGGGAAGACTTTTTAATGCAGTTCTTCCTTTAAACACTGCAAACAATGCTAAAAAGTTGAAAGCTTGAAAGTTTAAGTGTATCTTAAGTATCGTATGATGATAAGTATGATCCCATCTTTTTTTTCTAATCCATCGCCCTGAAAAAAGAAAGGAAAAATTTGGCTCAAGGTCAAAAAAATTTACGGAGAAAGGAAAGGGAATCATTTGGAAAGAGAATCATTTGTTTAGTTAGCTTAAATAATAGTTTTTTTCGTTGATAAACGGTTTTGGAAAGAAAAAATGGTTTTTTAAGGGTTTTTACGGGTTCCAAATCGTCGCAATGATGGGAAGTGGAAGTGAAAATAAAGAAAAAATTTTTTCTAGACTACTTATCATTTTTTTAGCATAAATTTGGAGTGTGCGCTCCAGCTTGAAGACTCGTCTAGATTTCAACTTTGAAAGTTAACCGATTCACTGGAAAATGAGGCGAAGTCGATATCACTGTGGAGGAAACTTTTTTCTAGACTACTTATCGTTTTTTTTAGCATAAAACTAGAGTGTGCGCTCCAGCTTGAAGACTCGTCTAGATTTCAACTTTGAAAGTTAACCGATTCACTGGAAAATGAGGCGAAGTCGATATCACTATGGAGAAAATTTTTTTTCCAAGCTACTTATCATTTTTTCAGCATAAATCTGGAGTGTGTACTCCAGCTTGAAGACTGGTCTAAATTTCAACTTTGAAAGTTAACCGATTCACTGGGAAATGGGGTGAAGTCGATATTACTCGCTAAAATGTTCACCTGATGGCCGAGTGATCTCAGCTCGATTTGCGAGGCGGATAGCTCACTGTTCGGCACCGACAACGAGTTCATTTCATCTGAAAATCGGATTAAATTAAATGATTTTAGATAGAAATTTCGAATTTTAGTTATTTTGGTTTAGATTTTTCGTTGTTTTTGGGATTTTTATGCTTTAAATCTTTTGTTTTACTGATTTTTCAGATTTTCTTTACAAAATACAAAAGAAAGCTACCGTATTTCTACGAATAGAAGACCGGGTAAAGAGTATCATCGCGTACTCCTGCGTAACAGCCCTTTTTAAGATTTCTTTTCTGCATAAAAGCTTTCAATGAAGTGCTATAGGGCTGGAAAATGGCTCAAAAATACGACATGAGCTAACAGATTTTTTTTGGGCCATTTTTGAGCCATTTTCCAGCCCTATAGCACTTGATTGAAAGCTTTTATGCAGAAAAGAAATTTTTTAAAAGAGCTGCTACGCAGGAGTACGCGATCATACTCTTTACCCGGTCTTCTATTCGAAGAAATACGGGATGTTTTTTTGAGAATGAGATGAGAGAATGCGCATGAGTCAAAAAATTTAAATGCAAAAATTTTTTTTTTCTAAGAAACGAATCATTGCTTTATCTCGATTTTTCTTTTTCTTTTCTTATAAGCAATTGTTGATCTTCGTTTATAGATATCGCTAATACGTTCCAGGATTTACGAAAAAAATCTCAAAATCAAATTTTGATCATTTGGCAGCCGAAAAAAGCCGAAAAGTGCGCGTTTTCATTTTCGTCAAAAGTGATGAGTTCAATTTTAAAGATAGAACAAATTTGAGGGACTATTTTTCAAGTGTGCGTTCCAGAATGGATAAAAATTGATAAAAAAGTTTTCTAGAAGAGAGAAATCGATAGAAAAAGCTATGCGGAGGATGCGCGAAATAGGACTGGCGCATTTTAAGGCTAAAGAATTAAGTGAAATGAGAAATTCTCGAAATAACTTTTCAAACTGGAGCACAACTTAAATGATAGTTAACTTAAATTGATAGATAAATTACCAGGAAGTGAGCGAGTGGTTGGCAAATTTAGAGATGTCCAGAAAAAAGGTGAAAACCGCAAAAATCAAAAAAATCAAAAAAAATTCGCAAGACTCTCGTCAAATACGGGATTTTTGAGCGGTAAAGAAGCAAAAGGAGAAAAAGAAAAAAAGATTTAGCGCAAAAAGTTTTCCGTTAACCAAATTGATCGATTGAATGAGAAATTTGTGGCTGTGAGAAAAAATTTTCGCTCTCGCGCTCTTTCTCAGCCAAAACAAACGTCGTTCATCGTTTTCGTTTATCTTTTTCGCCGATCTGGAGGGCATAGTTTTAAATGGTTTTGGAAATTTGCTGAGAATTGTGGTTTCAGAAAAAGTTTTTTTTTCGATGGTAAGGGTTTAGGGAGATTTCAAAAAATTTCGTGAACCACCAATTGCTTTTGTTAAACCTTTTCGTCGATCTGGAGGTCATGTTATAAAAATAATATGAAATTTATGATAAATTTTTATGATAACTCAATTTTTATTTTAGTGGAGTATCCGGGAGGGTCTTTCAATATCCGGGGTGGTAAAATTTTTAGGATCCGGTGGGATAAAATTTTATATACTTTATATACTTTATATACGACCCCTTTTAAAGATATTCAACCGCTTAAGTGATTTGGTGGCAAATTCCCTTCAAATGTAAAGATATTTTTAAAATAATCGCTTTATTAGAAGAAATTCTCATTCACTTTTCCTCAAAAATCCTTCATTTTTCTTTGGTTTTCTATTGTATTTCCGGTAATGACGGATTTCTTTGAATTGCAGCTCTGGCCACCGATCGAATCACTCAATTCTTTCAACTTCGACAAAGAAAATGATATTTATTTTTCAATCAATAAAGCAAAAAAAAGGTTTTGGAAAAGCTCACGAGTACATCCGTTGAAAGAGCAAATCAGGAATCAGGATGTTCTTTTGTTCTTTTGTCACAATTGATTTTATAACAATTCCGGTACTTGTGGAGTATCCGGGGGGGGGGGGTCTTTCAATATCTGGGATGATAAAATTTTTAGGATCCGGTGGGATAAAATTTTATATATTTTTAAAAAATATTTTTTTTTTAAAAAAATTTTATAAAAAAAAAAAAAAAAAAAAAAATAAAAAAAAAAAATTAAAAAAATATTTTTAAAAAAAAAAAATTAAAAAAAAAAAAATATAATTTTTTTTTAAAAAAAATAAAAAAAAAAAAAAAAAAAAAAAAAAAAAAAAAAAAAAAAAAAAAAAAAAAAAAAAAAAAAAAAAAAAAAAAAAAAAAAAAAAATTTTATTTTAATTTTTAATAAAAAATAAAAAAAAAATATTTTTTGGTTTTTAAAATTTTTAAAAAAAAAAAAAAAAGAAAAAAAACATTAAAAAAAAAAAAAAAAAAAAAAAAAAAAAAAAAAAAAAAAAAAAAAAAAAAAAAAAAAAAAAAAAAAAAAAAAAAAAAAAAAAAAAAAAAAAAAAAAAAAAAAAAAAAAAAAAAAAAAAAAAAAAAAAAAAAAAAAAAAAAAAAAAAAAAAAAAAAATACTTTATATACTTTATATACGACCCCTTTTAAAGATATTCAACCGCTTAAGTGATTTGGTGGCAAATTCCCTTCAAATGTAAAGATTTATGTCATTATTAGAAATGTTGATACTATCCTAGTTGGCGGGTCACTTTTTTTTCTTCAAAACCATTTTTTGGCGTAGTTTTATGTGTTGATATTGCGTAAGTAAATTCGATAGATTTTTACAAGTAGTATTCATTGTCACTGTTACAAATAGTCACTGTTGTACTTCACAAATTTATTTCATTATTATGTTTGGTTTATGTTTATGTTCTTGCATTACTCGTGCATCTTGTTTACCCCGAATCTTAAAATTTTACCCCACCGGATATTGAAAGCCCCCCCGGATACTCCACAAGTACCTTTAGTTTACAATGTAAAATAGGAAAATAGGAAACAGTAGCAGTGGGCAAAGCCTTTTCTATTCTTTTTTTTTGGCGGAGAATACGGTAGCTTGAGATTATTTTAATCATTTTAACCATCTTTAACCATTTTTCACTTTTTTATTTTCATTTTTAACATTTTCTCATTTCCCACCCACCTCTATGCAATAAACGAGCGGCCTCGCGCCGATTTTGCCACATCACATCGAGTCTTTTTTTGTGAATTCTGCAAGTTTCACCAGTTAAAATGTTAAAAAGGAAATAAATTTCACAAAAAAAGCATCAATATTTGAAAGAAAAGCGCATTTTAATTAGATTGTGGATTAATTCTTTTGTTGATTAAGTGCACTCGAGCGTAATTAAAAAAAAAATTCGCAATGGCAAAAACCTACGCGTGCATACAAAAAACGGCTGAACCCCGTAAAGCAATGGGAAAAACGTGTAAAACGTTATGCACTTTTTGAGGAAAACGCGAAAAATTTGCTTCGTTGGGAGTGGGAAAAATGCGACCTTTTTTTTGCGCACCCGGACATTTGCGCACCTTTTTTTGCGCACCTTGCCCATTAGCGCACCTTTTTTCGCGTTTTAAAACAGAAAAAGGTAATTTGAGGGTGTCGAATTCAAATTTTGACATAACAGAGCTTGTGGAACCAATTTGAAAGACAATTCGAAAGACAAAACGGCTAGATCAAATTACAGAAAACTCTCGATTTTTCCCTATGTATAACTCCGTCCGTTTGCTTCCACAAGCTCTGATATGTCAAAATTTCGATTCTACACCCTAAAATTACCTAGAAAAACAACTTTTGGAATAGAAATTGGTTAAGATTAGCTTTTTAGAGCTTTTTTAAAACGCGAAAAAAGGTGCGCTAATGGGCAAGGTGCGCAAAAAAAAGGTCGCATTTGCCCCACTCCCGCTTCTTTTGCTAATCTGCTTTTTAAAAGCACTTCTTTTAGATAGAAACTGGCGTAATCAGCGTAAAAGTTTACGTATTTCTCGACGATTGATTGTTTTTTGTTTCATGATTTCATGATTTCTTTTTCTTTTTCTTTTTACAAGTTTTAAACTGTTGTTTTAGATGAATCGAGCGGTAAATTTGCTTGCCAAACGGCTCAACGTGTTGCGAATACGGACGGCTGAGTTTCACGGTTGGTTATTTGCGTTAAAATAGAATTTTATGACGAATCTGGGAATGAGCAAAAAACAATGTTTTTCGATTTATTTTGATAGGAAATGATCCAGGATGAGTAAAAAAAGACATTTAAGCGTCGCTCAACAATTTTTATTGAATAATACGCTAATACGCTATACCCCAAGAAGATTGAAAAAGTTTACCCCAACCTTTTTTAGCCGATTCACATTTCCGCCTCCAATTACCTACCGCATCTCGAGTGCACTGCTAAGCGTTAGTCTTAGGCTTTAAGGCGTCTATGTGGAGCCTATTAATCGACGCCACTTTGACGCCTGAAAGCCTAAGACTAACTGCTTCAGCGGCACCTTAACCGCCGTACTAGCACGGACGTCGCATCAGTTGCGAAGCCAAAGCCTAGCCACATAGAGATCACATAAAAGAGGGTGCACGAAAGGAGTGCAAAGAAAGTCCTGTGATTGGATTCAGCGTAATTGATAAAATGTTAAAAATATAGTGGTTTCATTAAAGTTGTAAGAAAAAAGAAAAAACAGCTGTGTTACTTGAGAATCTTGAACTCCATAGGTAAATAAACAATTGTTTTTCTTAAAAATTGTTGAGCGACGCCTAAATTTGTCTTTTTTTACCCATTCTGAATCGTTTCCTATCAAAATAAAGGTGCCGCTGAAGCAGTTAGTCTTAGGCTTTCAGGCGTCAAAGTGGCGCCGATTAATAGGCTCCACATAGACGCCTTAAAGCATAAGACTAACGCTTAGCAGTGCACTCAAGATGCGCTAGGTACTTGGAGGCGGAAATGTGAATCGGGTAAAAAAGGTTGGGGTAAACTTTTTCAATCTTCCTGGGGGTATAGTCCTACCTATTATTCAATAAAAATTGTTGAGCGACGCCTAAATTTGTCTTTTTTAGCCATTCTGGATAGTTTCCTATCAAAATAAATCAAAAATATAGATTTTTACTTATTCCCGGATTCGCCAGTTTAGCCGAAAATTTTAAAGGTGCTTTGGTGATTGGGAGGAGCCAATTTTGGCTTTGCATCGTCGAATCTAGTGTTTTGAGCAGTTCATGTCGATACATTTCTTCTATTTTGAAGAAAGAGATATATGCTAAAGCGATTGGTGCTAATTTTAGAGTATTTCAAACATTTTTCAAGTTAGTATTGCAGCTTTTCAAGTGTAGTCAGCTTTGAGATAATTTTCGGTGGTTAAAGTACAACAGGCTAGAACACACGGCAAATCATCGAATAGGATTATGAAAAACGTGCTTAAATTAGCACCAATCGCTTTAGCATGTATCTCTTTCTTCAGAAGAAATGTATCGACATGAACTGCTCAAAACATTAGATTCGACGAAGCCAAGCCAGAATTGCCTCCTCCCAACCACCAAAGTATCATTTTCAACTTAAACATGGGTATTTTAGGCTAAAAATTTAGTTTTAAATTGTTTTAACCAATTTATTGGTATCTTAAACACATTTTGAGATTATTGCAAAGTTTGTGTTGATGATTTTCATTGTTTCAGAGCCCTCGTCATCGTTGATCGTCCCACCACCAATTGCGCCCAGATACTTGCCGATTTTGGATCGATCACAAGCGGAAACTATACCAAACACATCGCCACTCAATCGGATTATCCCGTTGCACTGTCCGACAACGAATCGCAATCAAGTTCGAGATGTTTATAGGCAAATTTAACGGCAAAATTTTGCGTAAACTTTGATTTATTAGTTAAAGTTCATGTTTTTGAGAAAACAAGGACTAAAAGTTGAAGTTTATCTTAAGTAGAAGTCGCAAATTGTTAAAAATTGCAAATTGCACAAACTTTAACTTGTAGGGTAAAGCAATTTGTAATTTTGGTCTCAAATACCTATTTTTGTTTAGATCCTCAGCCTGCCGAGTTTGCTGAAACAAGTGCCCAAAGTTGCCCCATCGCCAGACGCGAATCAAGCGGTCAAGGTGGATCCGGAGTTGAATAGGGTAAGCTTTAGACATGGAGGGAAGACTGTTTAATGGAGTTCTTGCTTTAAACACTGCAGCCAATGCTAAAAAGTTTAAAGCTTGACGTTTTGTATTTAGTGTATCTTACTCTTAAGGTTTACTTCAACAGTTTAGATCGGTTTTTTATTACGATAATGGCAAATATTTTTGTGTTTAGTCTCCAATCACCGAGCCGTTGACTTCACGAAACGCCCCAATGTTGGCCGGACCTCGAGCGCTCACGATTCGTCGTCACAAGATGCGAAAACATAAAAGAAACAAGCGGATTCAGCGGGATTGGTTCAAATATCAGAAGTATCATCGCGAGAAGAAAATGAGGGTCGGTTTTGAGATTTTAATGAATTGAAAGTGAAAAAAAACTTTGTCTCAAATACAAGTTTGTGTCCATGAAAACCTGTAGAACTTTTTTTAGGCTGAACGCGAGTTTGTGAAGCGAATGAAGGGACATTTGGCTGAGTTGAACAGCTTCAATCCCGAGGTTTACGTTGAGGAAACGATTTCAAGGCGAGTTTTGAGCAGATTTTGATGGAATATCAGGGATTTAAGCGCAAAAAGAAAAAATTCTTTCTATTTGATCAAATTTTTAAACATTTTGCTTCAAATGCATAGATCTTTGACTTAAATTTTATTTAAAATTGATTTTTAGCATTGTAGCTAAGTTTTGAAGCCATTCAACAATCAAATTTCTTTTTTTTCAGGGCAAAAAGAGAATGGTCGGACGAGTTGACGCCAACGGGTCGCCGTTTGTATCCACATTGGTCACGCTTGATGTCATTAGAAGAGCTTTATGGTGAAATCTTTATTCTGCTCTAGGCTAAAGACTGCTTTAGGACTCCCAAACGGTGATTACATCGATAAACGAGCTGGATATCCGAGTGAAGAGGACAAAGAGCAAATCCGGCAATTGCGAGAGAAATACAGGTGAATTCGGAGTTTTTCAATTCAATTAGATTAGTCCCTTGGATAGCTCTCAATTTCTCACACTTGGGGCAGCTATGAGATTTGGCTCCTTTGAATGCATACGTTAGATAGTGTGTTTAATGTTTACATTAATGTGCTTTCTAAAAGGTGGCCAATTTGGAAGCTGCCGTAATCTTATCTTCAGACTTTGTCCATTTATTTACTTCGTTTTGATTTCATTCAGCTCACTGTTGATTCCCTTCATCGAATGGCATCAAAATTAAATTAATCTGGTTAAATTTAAAGGCTAGAGATTATGGTAGTTTTTCAAAATGCCCACCCTTTTAGAACCCGCAAGAAATTTACTTACAAAACAAGAATCTGGGGGCTCAACAGGCTCATCCAACTTGGTCGATTTTCCATCATTTTTTAAGCATTTTGTTCTAAGCGCTGATTAATGCTAAAAATATGTGCTATATCTCAAAAAATCACCCATTTTACTCTACTTTAATTTGATACCTTAGCGCGCAGAAACAAATGTCTAAGCGCCGAGATATGAGCTGTTCTTTGAGTGTAAACTTAGACTACGCGACTATAGGGGGCATCAAAGATATTGAATAGACTCATCCAACTTGGTCAACTCATAATTTCTATTACTTTCAGACGCGATTTCCTCTCGATCCACCCAGATGCAGAGAAGAAAGGAAAAGAAGAAAAAAGTTAGTGATCTTGATTTCGATTTGCTCATTTATAGAGTAGTTTTTAGAAAATTACACCTTTTTTTGTTATTTATTGTTATGAAGACGTTGTTTGTTTTTGCTTGTACGTGGAGAATTCTCGGAATAAAATTTGTGTACAAAGGAATTGAGTCTGAAGTGCACACGATATTTTGGCAAAATTTCAGTCCAAAACAAGACAGTGTAGCTATGGTCCAGTAGTTGTAGAACGTTTACGAATCTAAAGGTCCTGCTTCGATCCCGAGGCCCTTTTGCTTTTTGAAGAATTCTTTTTCATCCATTTTAGCAACTAAAACATTGGAAATCTAGTTTCTAGAGATTCTCTCGAGTTCAACTTTATTCTTCCTCATTTTTTTGAGGGATTGATACTTTTCGCTTCCTTTCTCTCCTCGTTTTTCCCATTTTAAGATCCTCGTTTCTCTGACGGATGGGAACATGTCCGATTTGAAGGGAAAAGCAAAAACGAAGAACATTTCCCCAGAGGATCCACAGGGAAATCTGTTGCTGTTGCTTCAATTTTTTGTTGTGGTCGAGAATGATCCTTTTCCCATTCTCCAACAAGAGATCAACTCGATGCACTTCAGGGATAAGAAATGAGAGGAAATTTTGAGCATTAGACATTAGACACTGAGGAGTTAGAGAAATTGAGGCAAGGAGGAGATCGGTTCAGGTTGAGTTTCAGAGTTGCAAAAAACTCTCCTTTTCCACTCTCAAGACTCTAAATTTCCTAGAGACCACAGGAAAGAGACGCATAAAATCTCGTGCGCTCCAGGAAATGAGAAAACGAGATCGAGAAAGA